GAGTGGTATCGCTTCCTTTTTCCCAATCTGAATCCATCTTCTGGCCAGCCAAAAACGCCTGCTCCATTGCTCCCTGGGGCACAGACCTCTCCCAGTTCGAGGCTGCCTACACACAGCACTTCTGCCTCCCTGCCGTTCCCTCTCTGCCTCCTTACTGCCCCATGCTTCAAGCATGCCAAGTCCTCTGGGGTCTTCAGAGGGGTTGCCCCAGCCCGTCCCTTCCCCAGCGCACGGGGGCCGGGTCATACCTGCAGCACGGAGAGGCTGGTCTGCCCTGAGAGGCTGAGCTTCTCCTGCTCGGAGGGGTAGGCATTGAAGCGGTGCTCATACAGCCAGTCCCGCAGGATCTTTACAGACTCCTTGGGCAGGTTGCCCCTTCTTTTCCTCTTGTTCAACTGAGACGCCTCCAGACATGTGGTGCCGTCGTCCTCCCCGGGGTCGCTATCCGACATGGTGGAGCTGCCTGCGGACCTCTCCTGGTGAAAGCCTGGCGAGGTGGAAACCAAACAGCGCACACATCACCTGGTGCCCTGGCTGGGGGCTCGGGGCACGCAGCCACACAGCCCCCTCACCGCCCGAGCTTGGGGGGCAGCTCCCCCCCCAGCACCCACCCTACAGCACTTCCCGAGCACAGCCCCCGGAGCTCTGCGGGGACTTCACAGGGTCCACGAGGAGCTGCCCCCGCAAAGCAGCGAGAGGAGCCGGGAGGGGGCAGAGCCGGGGGGGCTCCGCTCATTGTTCGCCGGGGCTCGGGGCGGCTCCGGGCGGCCGCTGTCAGCTCCGGGGCAGCCCCGGGCACCCCCCCCCCGTATCCCTGCCGCAACAGGTAGCGGGGCGCTCGGCCCACACAAAGCCGGGAGCCCGCCCCGCACGGGGAGCTCGGGAAACGGGAAAGAAACCCGAAACCGCGGCGAGAGCAAAAAAAAAAAAAAGAAAAAAAAAAAAAAAAAAAGAGGCCAGAAACCAAACGCTGCCCCCCCCACACCTCCCCCCCCACACACACACCCCCGCCGCTAAGAGAACCCAAAGCCACCAAAAAACCTCCCCCGGCCCCGCAGCAACTCTCCCAAACTCAACACCCCGCGACAACAAAGAGGGGAACGGCGCCGAGCGCCAACAAACCCCCCCCGGGCGCTCCGAGACGGCACTCGCCAAAACTTTTCACGCCGCCCCGGCCGCACAAAGGCAGCGGGGGCCGCCCCGCACGGGGAAGCCGAGCCCCGCAGCGCCCCGCCGCAGCCCGGCCCGGCCCCAGGCAGCCCGCGGGGGCTCCCCCGTTGTGCCTTGTGCCCCGCTCTTACCCCCGGGCCGCCGCCGCCGCCTCCTGGGGCCTTGCATGGGCCGTACCGGGGGGGGGGTCGCGCCGCAGCCGCCGCCGCCGCCGCCACCGCGCCGGGGCCGGGGTGCGGCGGGGCCCTCCCGCAGCGGCGGGGCCGGCGGCGAAAAGTTTTCGGGCCGCGGCGGTGACAGATGCCGAGACAGAGTTCCCTTTGTTCCCAAGGAGGCAGGAACTTGGGCCGGGCCCCCCGCCCCCGGCCCGCCCGCCCGCCCCCGGCTGTCACCGCCGCGGCCCACGGGGCAGCCGCCCGGCCCCCGCCCCCGCCGCGCCTTTGTGCGGCCGGTGCCTGGCGGAGCCCCGGGACCCCCCCCCGGACCCGGACCCGGAGCCGGACCCGGAGCCCCGCTGCCGGCGGGGAAGGGGCAGGGTGGGCACACGCTGCAGGGCCCGGCCGGACGCGTGCCCGGGGACGGGGGCTGCAGACCCCGGGGCACCGCCAGGGCTTCGTTTGGGGGCTTTGTAACTTAGGGCAGGGGAAATCAGAAACTCGGCAAGCACTGCCGTGCTGCTGGAAAGCGTTTCAAAGCAAGCGTGGTGATTGGGAAAGCACCAGAGGATGTTTGCTCAGAGGACAGCACGCCTGCTCCTTCCCTGACCTGCCCGCTGCCCTGTCCCTGTCCCTGTCCCACCACCGGTGTGGTGGCATCACCCGTAGGTGCAGGGCAGCATCACCCGTAGGAGTGGGGACAGCCAACGCAGCGAGGTCTTTGGAGGCCTTACCGTGCTGCCACCGCTCTCCCTGCAACCACAGCGACCCTTTCGGGTTTTGGAGACCAAGCTGCTCTGCTTACCCCCAGGCACACAGCCAGTCCCAGATGAGGCTTCCCGTAGGATGTCCCCGTCGCGTGCTCTGCGCCCTTCTGCAACGCACAAAGGTCACTCTCAGCTGGCCAGAGCCCACGCCACAGCTGGCCAGGTCACGCACGTGAGCAGCGCCGAGCCCAGCAGGGGCCGTGCCCAGCATGGTGGTACATTTTGTCAGGGTGAGCCGTGAAAGGAACCACAGGGAGAGCTGCTCCGAGCAGCAGTGCCACATCCCGTGTGTCAGGCACTGATGGGTGTTGAGAAGGGCTGCCAATAAACTTCTGTCACTAGGCTTTTTTTCATACCGATACAAGCCTGAAGCAGGAGAAAAAGTTCAGCTTGGCAGCACCATGAGAGCCCAGGAGGCCAGGCTGGAGATCTCTCCTTCCCCAGCCCCGTGCCCAGGAGGGGACAGGTCTGTTTCGGAGGAGCAGCGCATTTGCCGGCATTTTCAGGCAGCCCTGATTCAAACCCCTTCACTTGGCTTTCAATAGGAGCAGGCACCAGGCTCTTAGCCCTGAATTGTCCATCCCAAATGTGTGAACTGAGCTGATTATGGTGATTAGGGGGCCTGGGCGTGGGAGAGGGGCTTGAGTCTGAGAGGGGAAGGAGCTGGAGAGAGCTGCCATATACTGAGGCTGTTTGTCATGGCCAGCACCTGCATCGCTCTGGTTTGCAATGCAAGATGGGCCGGAGCAGCCGCGTTTCCATGTGGTGGCTGCTGGCAGCAAAGCTGCAGATCTGCACAGAGCGGCTTTCGTGATGCAGGAGAGGATTAAATAACAAAAAAAAAAGGAGAACTGCTTAAAGCCTTTCTTTAGGTGCTGCTAAATCTGCAACGTCCTGAGTGAAACAGTACCCGAATCGCTATTGCTCAACCAGTGGAAGCGCCATGAGGGACAGTGAACCACAGATGAGGCATGGAGCCCGTGCAGGGTGCAGAGCCCCCCTGCTGCCCCTGCCCGCAGCACCCTGCAGCCACCGCTGCGGCCCCAGTGAGCCCATGGCCCTGCCCCGGCTCCTGCCCAGCGGGGCCGGGCTGGACCCCGAGCCCCCCAAGCCTCCCAGGGCCACAGGAAGGCCCAGCGGGCCGCAGGGGCCAGGGAAGGTGGCAGCAGCCCCCGGCTGAGGGCTGGTCCGGGCTGAGTGTCCTGGCCCAGCTGGGCCACCTCCCGGGCAGCGCCATTGACATGATCGCACTGTTAAACCTCTGCAATTCGGAAAACAATCAGGCAGCCAAGGCCTGAAAGGGGCTGCTGGAAACCTCGGGCAGCCTTCGACAGGGCCGCAAGCTCTGCCCAAAAAGGACTCCTCCTTTGCCCATCCTCTGCTGATCTGTATTATTTATTTATTTATTTATTTATTTATTTATTTATTTATTTATTTATTTTGCTAGGAAAGGGCTTCCATTCCAGCTGTGGGGTTCTGCTGGGGTGCCAGTTGTCCCACGTTCAGGGGGCCACTGGCTGGGCTTGCCCCACTGGGACGCCTCATGTGCTGGCGTTTTGCTGGTAGCAGCTTGCCTTCTCTGCAAAGGCATTTGCCAAGGCTGCCGGGGTCATGCTAGTATTAATTAGGAGGGAAATGAAAGCGTTCCCAGGGCTGGCCTGGCTGGCTTCATCATTTCCCTGCTCAAGGGCTGGTGTGCTCCTTTTGCCCAGCTCCAGCAGAGCTTTAAGGGCAAATTTTTAAATATTCAGTGCCTATGTGGAGACGAGACTGGTGGCTGCCTCAGGGCACCTGTAAATGCCGGGGGACCAGCACTGTGAGAGCAGCACACAGCCCAGCCCAACACCCTGGCCTCCCACCTTCAGGTGCCCTGCTCTGGCCTCCCGTGGTCTCCCACTTCCCCTCATTCTGCCCACTCTCAAATAACCCTGAGCTGGGCTCCCCCACAGCTTTTTTAAAATTATTTTATTTTATTTTATTTTATTTTATTTTATTTTATTTTATTTTAAGCTGGAAAGCAGCAAGGCAGAAGAAGACCTGGCTTTGAACAACCTGGTCTGGTGGAGGTGTCCCTGCCCATGGCAGGGGGTTGGAATTGGGTAGGCTTTAAGGTCCCTTCCAACCCAAACTATTTTGTGACTCTGTGATCTGAGCTGACCAGGAGCCACCAACGTGCCCTTGCTGCAGAGAAGGTCAGCAGTGTCCTGGGCTGCGTTAGGCCAGGAACAGCCAGCAGGTCGAGGTGCTCTTGTCCCTCCGCTCAGCACTGGTGAGGCCACGTGTAGATGCTGGGTCCAGTTCTGGGCTCCCCAGTGCGAGAGGCATGGAGCTACCTGCTCTAGGTGGCCCTGCCTGAGCCGGGGTTTGGAGCAGATGAACCACAGCAGACTCTGCTCACCGCAACCATCCTGTGATTAAGCGGGTGGCTTGGTGGCAGCGTGCACTGGCCACTGAGGAGAAGCCAGGAAAGAAAGTATTTCAGGGTGCTGTGCTAACTTCAAGCTTATTGGAGCTCTGAATGCAGGAAAAGCAGCAAACAGGTGGGGGAGGAGGGAGGGGTGGTTTGCCAGATTGCTCTGGGTGTAGGCAGAGAATCAGCTCCTCTCAGCAGAAACAGGCGGCAGCCACTGGTGAGCCTCGTGAGCCAAAATCCAGGCAAGGCAAAGTTGCTGGCATCGCGAACCAGTGGACTTGATGACTGTGCACCTCAGAAAATGATCAAAATCCTTCAATGTTACAGGAGGAGGCAGGAGACTGGGTAAGTCAGCAAGGCGAGGGGAAAGAAGCTGCGACAGGTTGACCCCCAGAAATGTATTCTTAAGTGTCCCTGCCCCAAGCAAACACTTCTGAAATTAAATGTCTAGTTTTGTTTTTGGGATGTTTAATACGTTTGAAGAAACTGTTTGTTTTTATTTTTCATTTATTTTTTATTTTTAAAGAGAACATCCCCTAGAAGTAAAGCCTGGGAACCTTTCACAAGAAACTAGTTTGGAGGTTTGCTGATGTTTCTTTCTCCCTCTGTGGATGAAGTGGCTTTGACCAAAGTGGATGAAAAACATTTGGGGCATGCACAGCTGACAGCACAGAAGGCAAACAGCCCCAGCTGCTTGTGTTGGTGACAAAGCACAGAAAAGGCTCTGAGCATTGCTGATAGAAGCCCAAACACGAGCTCAGGAGGTAGCACAGGAGATGCAGTCAAAGGGGAAAGGGCTGAAGGAGCCAGTACCCAGAAGATAATTCTGCACCACTCTGTGTAGCCAGCACAGCCCCTTTACATGTGTGCCCTTAGTTCCTTTTTCACCTAGTTTAAGTCAATCATCTGCTTTAGTAAACTAAGTTCCTTGATGTCAAACCTCCCTGGTGCTCTCCTCTGCATGCTCCTAGCTTGGTGAGATCTTTTTTATACTCAAGGTGTGGGGGGCATAGAGACTGAGACAATGGCCAAACAGCACTCCCTCTTGGAATCCCTTCTTTTCCTAGTAATTCCTACTATGTGACTGTTTTTTTTTTTTCTTTTTCTTTTTCTTTTTCTTTTTTTTTTCTGTTGTTGTTGGTTTATTTATTTTTTTTCTTCACCAGCTGTTGGGCTCTTCCCTTTCCTTGGGGCTGCCCCTCACCTGCTGCTGCTCAGGGTGACACGCTGAGCTGGGGCATTGCAGCTGTGAAGCCGGGGCTGATCTTCCCCACGTGCTTCACTTCACATCAACCCACCCAGAGCAGCACCTGCCTTTTGGTGCCTCCCTGCAGTCTCATAAGGCCCTCTGCAGCCCTTTATGGCAGCCCCATCTCCGTGTGCTCCACCTGCAAGGAGCTCCAGCAGCCAGGGGAGGCGGGATGGCACCTTGCAAAGCACAGATTTATTCTTCCCACACACACCCCTGTGTCCACTAACAAGGTTTCTCTACTTTGCTGGCATCAGGGTTGAGGGATATCTTCTGAGAATCAGCTCTGAGATCAGACCTGTGAGTGGATGGAGCCGTTGGCCCCGTGATGTCTGTGAGATGTCTGCTTTGCCATAAAGCTCAGTGAAGAAGCTTTTTAAAAGCATCCTGCCTTTCAGCAGCCTTCAGGCCTGGGACTTTGCTTTGGGGGAGGACTGCATGTTTTTCCCCAGTATGCAAAGCATTAGGGAATAAACAGTGCCCAGCTTTGCTTTGTGAGCCTGGAGGTGGGCTTGTACCTGGCTGCTGCTGCAGAGCACAAACCCCCCTGGGAGGGCTTGGCCTGCCCTCTCCCCTCTCTGTGCCCCGATAATACAGCTTGCGCTTCCTTGCATTGGCAGTGCCTGGAAAGCAGAAGCAAACAAGCTCTCAAACCATGGGCCATGTCCCAGGCGAGGACACGGCCCCAGGCCTGGCAGGTCTGGGGCAGGGGGGTGCCAACCCCAGCTCCACGTGCTCCTGGGGCACCGCCAGCCCCATCTGAGCTCTTCTGGCAGCTGTGCCCTGGGCACCACCTCGCCAGGCTCTCTGGGTTTGTCATCACATTTCCCTCCTCATCCTTTGAAGGGATGCAGGTGGTGACCTCCAGCAATGTGGGAACCCCCTTATCCCCTCCCGCTGTGTCAGGATGGTGTTAATTAATCAAACCACTGGGACAAACAGCACAACAAAGCTGACTGCTGAGGAAGGGCTGGCAGTGCAGGGACCGTGCTGCCTCAGCAGTCCTGGCTTAAACAGGGGTGTTGGCAGTGGGCATGGGATGATGCTGGGTGCTTGAGAAGAGGGGAGGAGAGGAGCAGAGCAGAGAGGAGAGGAGAGGAGAGGAGAGGATTCCACCTTTGTATCTCAGTCCCTTTCCTCTGCCTGTCCCAAAGCACAACTATCAGCAAAGGCAGAAAATGATGCTTAAGCCAATTTTGCACAGACAGGTTGGGAATGATTCGGTTTGAAACAGGGTGTCGTCAGGAGGAGACCCCGGTGGGCAAGGGCAGATGCTGGGGGATGTGGTATGGGAGCTGGAGGCACGAGTGGCCCTCAGCCCCAAATCTGAGTGGCACAGCACCAGGGCTGTGCTGGTCAGGGAGGGAGCCACACAGCACCGTGTTGTGTTACACCATCAGACTTTATAGGCTGCTTCAGTTTTCTGACCCCCTCAAATTACAGGCTCTAAAGCCATAAAACAGACATAGATGGGGAAACAAAAGTGTTCTTCTTTTTCTTTCCTAAAGGGAGTGTGGGAGGTAAAGGGAGAGCTTCTTTCTGCATCAGGTCCCCTGGACTGCACTGATTTGAGCCAGCCAAAATCCCCACCAGCCGGTGCTCACCTGGGCTGCTTGCCCCTGCCCTAGGACGCCCCCTGCTCCACGGGGAGAGCAGCTGCTGGGTGGGGATGGAGCCTGGCTGGGTCCCGGGGGCTGAGCCTGCAGGCAATGAGAGGCGATGGGGGAGGACGGATGCGCACGCAACGGCACGGTGAGGGGAGTGTTCCTCCAGCAAGGGCACGGTGCCACGCGCCAGCATCGGCATGACATGGAGCAGGGTGACGTCCTGGGTGAGGGGAAGCCTGCTGTGGGGCTGGGCAGCGAGGGGGCAGGGGCTGGGCAGCGTGCACAGGAGGCAGGGAGCGGCTCTCGGCACTAATCGTCTTTGTCCTTGGCCCCGTGCTTCAGAATGCGGGTGAACTCCACGTAGTTGAAGTTGCCCTTCTTGTCGATGGGCGCCTCCCGGTACATCTCATCCACCTCCTCGTCGGTGAACCTGTCCCCCATGGTGGTCAGCAGCTCACGCAGATGGTCCTCGTGAATGAACCCTGCGGGGACGGCAGGGACTGCGTCAGCACGGGAGGCCAGAGGGGTGGCCGGGGACCTTCACTGCCTCCCCTGGGGGCTCCCTGCTGTTCCGCTCCCAGCCCTGCACCTGAGGCCATGCCCCACACTGTTCCAGAGCTGCCTGGGGGCTCTCCCCAGAGCTTTGCCCCGTACCTGATGCCTCCTCGTCGAAGCAGGCGAAGGCGTTGCGGATGACATCCTCCGGGTCGGTGCCGTTCAGCTTCTCCCCAAACATGGTGAGGAACATGGTGAAGTTGATGGGCCCTGGTGCCTCGCTCATCATGCCTTCCAGGTACTCGTCGGTGGGGTTCTTCCCTGCCGGGCACAGGTGGGGGGGTGGGTGTGGGGCCCCCATCCCATCCCCAAAGTCAGCCCCCCCCCCCCCAAACACCTTTTCATTCACCCACGCCACGAGCAGTGGTTTCTGCAGCACCCACGTCTGCTGCCTCAGCACCTCTCCCCACGCCGTCCCCGGCCCCTCTCCGCACGACCCCATGGCAGAGGCAGTGCTGGGACATCCCAGGCACAGTTTGGGCTCTGCTGAGTGCAGCCTTAACGCCCACGGGCCCCTCAGTGCACGTCCCCTCTGCTCTGGGATCTTTCTCTCGCAGGCAGTACCTTCAGAAGGGGTCTGGCCACCGTGCCAACGGGTGCCAGACCTCGCGGTGTGGTGCTGAGGCAGCAGGGAGCTTTTCCTGACCGGTGAACATGGCTCTAAGAGCAACAGCCTAGGCTGCTGTCCTTAAATACCTCCATAAATGCACTTTCTAAGGTCAGCTAGCACCAGCAGAGCAAGTTGCCCATTTTTACAGCATCAAACAGCCCCAAAGCAGGAGGGCTGTGCCCCAACACCACCCCAACAGTGGCTCCTCAGTGCAGGCAGGTACGGGGCTCCTCGCAAGGCACCGTGTGCCCCCAGCAGCAGTCCCTGCTGGCCGTTACGAGCAAAGGGGCCGAGGGGTCGGCAGGGGACCAGGACAGGGTCTCCTCACCCATGGAAGCCAGCATGTCGTGCAGATCCTCCTTGTCGATGAACCCGTCGCGATTCTGGTCGATCATGTTGAAGGCTTCCTTGAACTCCTGGATCTGGGACTGATCAAACATGGCGAAGACATTGGAGGTGGCGCGCTGCGGGCGCTTCTTGGTGGTCTTGGCTTTGGCACGTTTGCTGGACATCTTGGTGGCTGGGGAGGTACCTGCAGGCAGGACATGGTCACAGATCAGGGCACAGGGACAGGTGAGACTCAGGCTCTGCTCAGTCCCCTGGGAAGTCCCACGAGCAGGCCGCTCTCCCTGTCCCCCTTCCCAGCACATCCCAGGGCTGTCCCCACGGGCTGCGGGCACAGCTCCCCACACCCTCAGCCCCCACACCCACGTGCTGCCTGTCCTCTTCATCCCAGTTGCAGGGAACGATGGTGAACCCAACGCCACATTGGGTTCAGTCTGGGAGGGCACCCAAGGGTGCTTTCTAGGTGCTGCCTTGGGTTTTGGGGCAGCCCCCCCCCTCCTGGAGGCTGCCCTGGGGTGAGCAGCCGGTGCCTTGCCGGGCTGGGGGCTGAGCCAGAGCCAGGGGTTATCGGCTGCGGGCGCATTCCTCGCGTGCCGCCGCTTCCCTGCCCTCCCCCCTCACCCCAGCTCCAGCCCTGCTCCTCGAGGAACCCCGAAATGCGGGGAGGGGAACACCCAGGGGGGTCACAAGGAAGCAGCTGAGGGCAGGAGGGTTCAGAGGAGCGGTGAGGTTGTTGCAGGCGATGAGCGGCACGAGAAGGGAGCAGGCTGGGGGGGCAGGAAGGAAACAGTGGATCCACAGGACGAAAAGACAGACCCAGGGGGAACTCAGACAGGGAAATACGTGGCCCAGAGGGGATGGCAAAGGGGACAGCCACCACCTTCCCAGCAGGAATAGTGTCCGGGTGAAGCAAAGAGCCATTTCCCAGCAGCGAGGACGATCAGAGATAGCACCTGAGCCCCTGAGCAATGGTTTGGTGTCACCGTCCACGCTGCCAGGCTCAATATTTAAGACCTTGCATCACGGTGCTGGGGACCCAGCCCTGATTCCCACAGGTTGCGGCTGCCTCTGGCGTTACCCAGGACAAGGATGCTCAGAACTCTCCCAGCCAAATCCCGTTAAGTGAAACTCAGCGAGCAGCTGTCAGGGACAAGCCTGGCACAAGGACACTTCCAGTTGCTGCCAGCTCAGCATGGCCCTGGGAGAAAGCCCGGGGTGACAACAGAGACAGTGGCCACAACAGAGATGCTGCTCAGATTCTTGAATTTTGTCAACTCTAACTCACAGAAAGCCCCATGCCTCGGTTTCCCCATCTGGGGCAGGGAGCCCATGCCTGCTGCAGGGTGGGGAATCAGAGTTAACAGACTGTGAATGAGGTTCCTCAGGTGAAGGGCAGAGCATTCCTGTAACCGTTGTGTGTTACAGGGAGCATCCTGCCCAGCTGACAGAGCGAGCAGCCTTTTCTCACAGCTGCACAGCTCCTGCGAGCCCTTCCCAGGCTGTGCCTGCCTTCCAGCCATTCCCCTGCTTCACTTTGTCATCTCTTCACTCCCTTCTACCCCTCCTTTGTTGGGGTAGGAGCACACAGCCCCCCCAGCCTGCCCTTTCCCCCCCTCAGCTGCAGCCCCCAGGTTCCCCTGGCTGGGCTCCGTGGGAAGGAGCCCCGGTGGCTGCAGGCACTGGGATGGAAATGCCACTGCCCTCATCTCCCTGCCCACCACCACCTTTGCCTGCCCTGGCTGGCACCCAGCACCTAATGCCACTCGTGAAATCACCCCAGATCACCCCAGAACCTTCGATCCTTTCCCAGGCATTTGCCACCAGCCTGCTGAGGAAAGCAGCACCACCAAAGAGCCAGGGCATGCCCACGGCTGTGTGGGCAGACGACAGCTCCATAACCCTCCTGCCCACTGCTTCCCCTGCCCCGCTGCACCACAAAGCTCCTTGCAGTGGCACAGCCCTTGCCCGTGTACCCTGCCAAACACCAGCATGCGCGGGCATCAGCCCAGTGCAAGGAAATTCAGCTGAGCAGCGTGGTTCACCTTAACCTGCTGCACCGGCCAGAGCCAGCAATAAAAGCTCTGGTGCCAGTACACGGCATTGCTGCAGCTCAGCCAGCGCTGAGCTTCCAAAACACAGGGAGTTATTAGCAGAACTATTAGCAGAAGACTCGAGAAATAAACAGGAGCTTTGCTCTCACCGCAGGAGCTAGCATTATCAAGATATTTACCCTGCCCCAGCTGTGACCAGTGAGCATGAGCACAGCTTGGCACGCTCCCCTGAGAGATGGTTCTTGTTTAGGGGGATTAAGCGCGATTTGGGCAGCCCGTGGTTTTGCTGTTCGATTCTGCTGTTTGATCCAAAACATTCCCTGGAAAGATGCTTGGTCCCAAGGACAAGCTCAGCTCCTCATTTTATTTCTCTTTTTAGCAAAACTCCTAGGAGCCAGCTGGGACTTGGAAAGGGACTTTTTTTTTGGCTGGGTGCAGGGAAAAGCACCCCTGCCAGGAGGCAGAAGTGATTTGCAGCCAGGCCCGATGTGCCGCGGGTGATCCATGCCCTGCCGGAGGCTCGATGGCTCCGCACACAGCTCCAGGGCCCGGCTGCAGGGCTCTGGCTGGCCAAAAAACCCCACGGCCAGACTGTTTGGTGGCCCGGCCACAATGTCCTGCATGCCTCGGTGGCCTCAGGCAGGCTCAGGCAGTCTGAGCACCCAGCTTTTCCTCAGCAAGAAGAAAAAACGCAGGATGGGTCCTGCTCCTCCAGCCCCCTGCCCTTGCCCCCATGTCCTTCTGCTCCCTCTGCAGCCAAGCGCCATCCCTGCAGCCACGGGGCTGCCTTGAAAAGTTATTAAATAATTTCAGGTTTAAAGAGAAAGAGCCACGGCTCGCTGTTATCGGTAAAACAAGCCACCATACATTTCCTCGCTGGGAAACTGCAAGGAATTTCACCCTGCTGCCGTTTCCTGACCATGCTGGGGAGGGCAGGACAAGCCAAAGGCACATCTCGGTGCTGCCAGGAGGGATCTCCACCTCGCAGCTGCAGCACAGCCCGGCTGCTTGTGATGCCTTGAGGCCGTGTGGTACAAACACGACGTTGTCTACGAGTGTGCTGGGTGCCCCGTTTCCCAAGGGTGGCTCCTCCAAGGCTGGGCAGACAGCTGCAGGAGCTCTCTCTGGAAGTGCTGACAAGGCTCCTGCTCTGCACGGGGCTGCTGCAAGATCTCCAGCATAGCTAGAGAGGGAAGGACGTCATCTCCACAACATCCCGGCACCCAGATGCACGATGTACATCTGCTGGATGCTTTTGGTCAGGCTTTATAGGATAGGGGGAAGGGCAATGCAAACAGCCTGAACTGTTCCACAGGACATCCCTGCGGGGATAAATGCTGGGCTCTTTGAAAGACCGTGGTTAAATCTCTGCCCCAAGACTCTTCCTAAGGTTAGCTGCAAGTAGCAGCAAGCCAGAACACGTTTACCGAGAGGTAAGTATGCTGGGGGAATGAGCAGTGAGCAGCCCATCTTCCCTGCTGTTAGAACAGCCTTCTTCCCCCGCTAGCCCTGGGATTTGGCATTGCTCAGCTCTGTCCTCACTGCAGAGCTGCCTGGGGGGCAGTGCCAGGGTGAGCCCAGGAGCTGCAGCAGGATCCTCCTGCACCACTTGGCGTGGCTGGAACAGAGACGGGCTCTTCTCCTTTATGGCCTTAGAATCAGAGAATCATTCAGGTTGGAAAAGCTCTCCAAGATCACCTGGTCCAACCACCCCCCTACCACCAATGTCACCCCCTAAGCCATGTCCCCAAGCACCACGTCCAACCTTTCCTTGTACACCCCCAGGGACGGTGACTCCACCACCTCCCTGGGCAACCCGTCCCAGTGCCTGACTGCTCTTTCTGAGCAGAAATGTCTCCTCATTTCCAACCTGAACTTTCCCTGGCACAACTTGAGGCCATTCCCTCTAGTCCTATCACTGGCTACCTGTGAAAAGAGGCTGACCCCCAGCTCCTCACACCTTCCTTTCAGGCAGTTGTAGAGAGCAATAAGGGAGATCGTAACAGAGATGGGTGGGGAAAAGGGAGCTTGGAGCATGGGGAAAGCAGAACCTGAGCCCCAGGCTGTGTTCCCCAGACCAATTGCAGCCACCAGCACTAATGCCAGTGAGCAGGATGTAAGTGCAAATGGAGCAGGCAGGTGTTGAAGAGACAGAGCCAAGGGCACAGGGACAAGGTCCCCACAGTGACCCAGCATGACACAGAGGCTTCAGGGCTGGGTAGCAGCAGGGGAAGAGCCCTGCAGCACACCACCCCTGTCCCTCTCCCCCAGCCCAGCAGCGCCAGGCACTGCTCGGCTCCTCTGGCAGAACACGAAGGGCTGGAGGCTTCTGTAGCTCTGATGATTTTGGGGTAAGAGAGAACAGCACGGTTTCTGAGCCAGCTCCTTCCCACCACATTTGGGGGCAAGGGCATCACCATGCCTGTGAGCATCAGGAGGGTGATGCAGAGGGCGTCGTGGGAGCGCGGGGCTGGAAGCCTTTGTGGCCTTTGGCCGCCAGCATCATGTGCCCTGGGCTGGCTTTGACATTCTCCTAGGGGAATGAAGGGGCTCACCTTGGTGGGAGAATCTGGCCTCTGGACGTCAGAGGGGGAGGTGACCGCAAACTCCTCCTACAGCAACCCAGAGCCTGCCAGTGACGAGAGGAAAAAATTCAAGTGACCGAAGAAACCAACCATCTTTGGTAAGCAGCGCTGGTTGTTGACACTTCGGGATGTTCCATTCCAAAGAATGCTGCTGCAGCCACTGCTTTCTTTTACACGTCGATGCTTAAGAACCTCCCTGGCTTTTATCACCTTCATAACACTTTGTACCGAAAAGGCATGCACGGAGGGAAGCAGCTGAGCGGAAGAAGCCAAGAGGACCTCGAGTTTTCACAGGCAAAACTACGTAAGACACAAAGTTCCTCTGCATCTGAGGGAAAAGAGCTAAATAAAGCTTTTCTGCCTCCCAACAGTTTATTGCCTCAAGTCGCTCGCGGGTCACTTGGGACATCTCTGCAGTGTCATGCATGCATCTGGATCCTGCCCCTGGCCCTGGGTGAAGACTTGCGGGGGGGAAAGCAGCAGATCCAGCCAGCAACAGCTCCCACTTGAAGGAGGCAGGGGGAGCCTCGCTCAGGCTGCACGGATCGGCTCCTGCAGCTCTGCCAGCCCGGGCAGGTCACCGCAGTGCCCGGGAGCTTTGCTCAGCGCCGTCCCTCGCCTCCCCCGGCTGGGACACCCCGGGCAGGGTCCCCGGGGCGAGTGGCTCCCCGCCTGCCGGCCCTCGGGGCTTCTCCTGCAGCCTCCTCGCCCCCCATCCCCCGGCTGCCCCCTCCCCGGCCCTCCGCGTCCCTCCCGAGCCGCCTCCCGCCCCGTCGGGGCTGCAGCATCGAGGGCAGCTCCGATTCCCTCCCGGTCCCTCCCGCCCCGTCGGGGCTGCCCAAAGCTCTCCGGAGCTCGGAGCCGGGGGCAGGGGGGAGCCGCCCCCGACGGCCGCCCCCCGACGGGCGATGCCCGAGCCTCACCTGTGCCGGAGCGGGGGCACTGCGGGGCGGGCGGCGCTGCTCTGCCCGGGACCGGCCGGCGGCTCGGCCCTAGGTGCTGGAGGGCGACCGGGGCGGTGCCGGGCCCCTCGTCCCGCCCCGGCCGGCCCGGCTCGGGCCATACAAGGCAGAAAAATGCGGCGGGGCCGGGGCGGAGGGGCCGCGCTGCCGGCCTTGTACGGACGGGGGGGGCTCCTGGGGGGGGCACCCCGGGGAGCAGGAGGCTGTGGGGGACCAAACCCACGCGGTGCCGTGCTGCCGGGGGTCGCGGGTCTCGGTCCCCTCTCGGCGGCCGCCCCCTGCCCCGGTCCTGCTCAGCTCCGGGGGCACGGAGCGGCCGCCGGTGCCGTGGGGTCCCCGACGGCGAGCCCGGGGGGATTCGCGCATGGTGGGGGGCAGAGCTCTGCCCGCAGCGGAGCGGTGGCACAGGGGGGATTTGGGAACGTTTCCGAGGGGGATTCGCCCTCCCCGGCCCCCAGCTAGGAGAGGGTTTGGGCGACACCGCCCGCAGCGGGGTCCGTGCACCTCGGGGGCTGCCCAGCGTGGCGAGGGACGGCCCGGGGCAACGCACGGGGATCGCTGCCATGAGCAGTGGTGTAAAAGTTCACCCTGCTGTGGGGCATCCATCTGCAGGGAGCCCAGCAGAGCGCAGGGCTGCGTGGAGCTTGCGCTGAGCCTGAGCTCTGTCCGGGGCTTTCCCACGGAGTTTGCCTTTTAAAGAAAAGGAAAAAAAAAAGGAAAGAGAGAAAGAGAGAACAAAGTCTCAGGAGGCAGAGAGCCTGAGCTGCCGCCCCATGGCTGCTGCTCCCCGGTTTTTCTGTGCATCCACCTCCAACTCATCAGTGTGTGTGCAGCACCCGGGAGCGTGGTGGGGAAGGAGCCGCCCCCGGCCATGCAGCAGCTCCCTGCAAGTCAGCGGGCACTGCACGGGGGCTGGGGGCAGCGATGGAGCAGGATACTGGACGTGGCAGCTCCTCGCACGCTTTGCAGCCTCTGCAGCTGCGTGCACATAGGGAACTGCTGCTGGAACTGCTGCAGGACTCGCCTTCATCCCTTCCAACCCTTCCCACCTTTCCCTTACTCCTCTCAGTGCTCCCTGTGTGCTCTTCCTCTGCCAACACGTCCCTTAGCAGGGAGCGTGTTTGTTCTTCCACACTTTCTTGTGTCACCTCTCTTCTGCATTCTCCTTGTTCTTTCAAGCCATAATTTCACTTGGTTTTCTCTCTGAGCAGCAGGTCAGGGAATGGAGATGGGGTAAAAATACAGTTTTTTAGCCTGTCAGTTTAGATCTGTTCCCTGATCCAGGCAATTCATCATCATGCAAATGCTTCTGCCTTGGCAAAGCGGCATGGGGCAGCAGCATGAAGCTGGGGATGCTGAGACTCAGCACACAGGACGCAGCCTGAAGTCCTGGAAGAGATCAGCTGTGGTGTCCCTCATCACTCCTGCTGTGCTCCATCACAGGGTGAGGGCACAGAGCAGGCTGCCATGTCCCAAACACCTGAGGAACCCCAAGGGCAGCAAGGATGGGGCAGGATGTGTGAGCCCTGGCCCCTCAACAAAGGACTCTGCCATAGTGGGGATCAGATACAAAAGCTCCTGTGGGAGATATGGCAATGATCCCCTTCCACTGGGTGTTACCTCCCTGCTACTGTGACAAGGGTCACAGAATCACAGAGTTTCTAGGTTGGAAGAGACCTCAAGATCATCGAGTCCAACCTCTGACCTAACGCTAACAAGTCCTCCACTAAACCATATCTTATATACAGCTTCTAACGGAGGGGTGTTCGGTGTTAAAATTTCACTTGTCAGTCATATGATGGCTTTAAAAAAAGAAAAACGTAATCAATGCCAAAATATTTATTTTGCTTTATCTCCTCAGGATGAGTTTTTAGATGTCATCTACTGGTTCCGGCAGATCATTGCAGTTATTTTGGGAATCATCTGGGGAGTAGTTCCTCTGAAAGGCTTCGTGGGAATAGCAATGTAAGGTTTATTTCCTTTTCTGTCTCGTGTACTTTCCCACATTTGGACTTTACTTCTTGTCTGTTTTAAGCTTGTGTTATAAACAGTGGAGTGGCCAAATGCAGTGTCTGTGTCTGTCACATGCCTTAAATCCAGCATCGCGTTCCAGACTGTTATTTGTCATGAACTTCATACTAATTACAACACGTTGTCACCAGCCTCTTTTCCTATCCTTGACCTAACTATTGCTTTTTTTTTTTTTCTCCCGTTTTCTAATATATTTGCTTATTCTTGTTAGAGGGGGGCAGAGGTGGAAGAAGGGAATAAGAAGCTCAATTGGCTTGTGAAGTGGCCTGTTCCCGTAAATGCTTCTACTGTTTTGCAAATGTCTCTGCCTAGTCAAGGTCCTGCATGCCCTAGCTATGGCAAGGAAGTGGAAGGAGCATCTCTAAGGAAAAAAAAAAAAGAAATTTGAAACTCACAGACACGTGCTATAAAGCTGTGGTGCTTTAACAGGAGCTCATCAGCTACGTGCAAACAGTTAAATCTGAATTGCTCCTGGTAATAGATGTGGAGTGGTTGGGAAGCATTGTCCTTACTTAGCCATCCATTAATTCATGAGACACCTTCAGGCACATCAGCCAATTCCTGGGCTAAATGTTAGAAATAAAAGCGATGTGGTGTCAGATGGGAAGCTCAAAGCTTCTAGAACTGTGTCCGTGGTTTCTCTGTGCTGTACAGGTGAACAGCTGCTCACAGCTTGCTGCCAGTCTTTGAACCCGTGAGTCTTCCAGTATTGCCTTTCCTACACAGTTTTCTTTCCAGGAAATGTACTCGCTTCTTCCGAGGTTGTCTCAGCCCTAAGCTGGGCTGGTATAATTCCAGACTGTTCTAAGAAAAAATAGGAGGCCCCATTTTTTTTGTTTCTATTGCAGCAGAACTGTTGGTGCAGACTATAGAGTGCTAAGACTTGCCTTAAGTTGAACACCAGTGCTATGGCTCTGAGGGTGGTACTGAACCTTCAGTTCTCATCTCTGGCATGTGGTCGTGAGACACTAACACAAGGGTTTAACATGGAGCGGAGAGCCTAACGCTCTTCCCTTGGCAGCCTCAAGATCGAGGAGCGCATGAAAGGAAATTGGATTCTGTGTTGCTGTGCACAAAGTATGCTTTGTATGTGGCTGTATGGTATATTGGGTATCTGCATTCTGGGTCCTGGAAAATGATGGTTCCTAATCTCTTTCTTCCAGATTCTGTCTGATCAATGCTGGTGTTCTGTACCTCTACTTCAGTAGCTTCCAGCAGATAGACGAGGAGGAGTATGGTGGGACATGGGAGCTGACAAAGGAAGGATTCATGACATCTTTTGCCCTATTTCTGGTAACATGTCTCGCTTTAACTTGATTTGTGAATTGTGTTGATAAACTTTATGGGGGAAAAGGCCTGGAAGAAAAGTAGGTGAGCTGGGGCACTGGTAGAAAGAGATGTGTTAGTGTCCACTAATAAGGGAGATTTGATGGGAAAGAGAAGCCTGAAATCTGTTGTTTGCTGGTTGTGAAATAAGACAGTATTAATGCACAGGATTTCAGTGTCATAAAGGAAACGAGAATGGACTGCCGTGTTTCTGCATCTACCACTTTTATGCCATCCCTGCCTTTGTCCCAGAAACACTGCTACCTCGTCTTAGCAGTTTCATCTAGGCATACCCAAACTGGTCTAGGTAATACCAGCTGATGTTTGGGGCTCTTTGTTTTCCCCTGTTACTGCCCTTCCACAAGTCCCTGAATATGCTCGTGGCTTGATTTGCTGGTGTTTCTAAATCACTAGAGAGACTGTGATGGATTTACTGGAGATAGGTTAGTCACTCTGGAAGCCGATCAAATGGAATGCCACCGTTTGTGCTGTACGGTGACCCTCATATATCTGATACAATCTCAAAAGCTAGAATTCAGTCCCAGTGCTCAGCTGAGGGCAAGGCCTAAGGCTTGTTTGCTGTGTTTTAACCCTTTTCAGAGGCATGAAAACAACTTTCCCTTCCTTTCCTCTCCACAGGTTGTTTGGATAATCTTCTACACTGCCATCCACTATGATTGACACAGTCTGCAGCTTTTGTCTGTTAAATCAGTTGTCAGTAAATCAAGAAGATTTTTAATAAATCATAATCTCTGGCAGACTGGTGGGAAGGTTGGGGATGTCAAATCAACTCCCTTCTGTACCAGCGGTCTGATTAGAATGGAAGAGCCCCAACTCTTCTGCTGGAGAAGCCAGTCCATCTCCGTTTTATATACCTGTTAATTACTGGAACTATTAAAAAGCCATTGGAATTTTTGGAAGCAGTTCAAGACTGTTCAGATTTTGAACTTTCTGCAACTCTAGCCAGTAACTGTATTGTTGTCCGTTGGGACTGCAGTATCAAACGCCTGTATGCTGAAGGTTGTATCTGTTAATTTAATGTATGTATGCTCCTTCGTTTGAAATTGTCATTACATCTGACTTGTCTTCCATTTGTTGTCCTTTAGACAGACGGTTTTTAAAAAGTGATTGTAGGGTACGTGGGAGGAAGGCACTGCAGCATCCAGGATATGAGTTCAGTGGCTGTCCTCAGCATGTTCTGTAGTAATCAAACCTGATTTGATTAAACAGACTGTGTCGTTACCATTTCTAATAAGTTTTGTTTTACTTGTGGATGATTTGTTCACCAGAATTTTCAAATGCTGAAATGTTGTCTTTGCTAAAGACAAATTTTTAAGCAACTTCACTAGAATGAGTTGTGATTAATTTGGTTAATGAATGTTTAACTTGCGAGATGTGTTTGGGAGGTTTGGAAACACCCCTGCATTCTGCTGGCCTATGAAGTTGTCAGCATTTACCTCAGAGCTCAGCAATCTTGAAGAACAGTCATTCTGGAGGTACACTTTTAATGCTATGTATGTAAATTCTATTTTTTTTAATTGATTTCAGCTGGCTTCAGATGCTCAGTGCTAATTAATGCAAGAGACTAACACACAGTTGAGGCAGCTAATATCTTAAAAGCAGAATTACTAGCTTGCAAATCAGGCGCATTCAATATGTAGTGCATTATCTCTGGTTAAAGGGGTGCTCTTTGCGTTGGTCACTTCATAGTGCAATTCTTCCCTAGTCCGTGGGAATTTGTGCATCAATGGGGGAGTAGTCTCTGCTCTAAAATATTTGTAAGGACCTGTATTTCAGAAATAGATCTTGGGAAGCATGCACAGTCCTTGTTTTCGTCAGAGGACCTTGCAGTCTAGCTGCCACATAGTCCTTGTTTTTCTAAACAGCACATGCTGTACCCAAAAAGAGTACTGACCTAGAGGTGCCTTATAGTAAGGAGTTAATAGTTTTGGTGTGCTTTTGGTGAAAGTCTGTGTTACTTCCTTGTTGGCAGAAGTCCAACAGCTCGGTTCTCACATGTGACTATGTAAAGTCAGGGATCTAATTCTCCAAGTGCTGAGCTAGGGATTCAGAATCACCCACCTGTGCAGGCCTCCATGCTTACCAGGGAAAATGGTGTCTGTTTTTGGTGAAAAAGACACACCTGGCTATCTTAGATCCTTGGCATGCAGAGGGAAAAATGCAATAGCAGACAGCTTCTGCTATGTGAAAGTTGCTAATTTAAATGATCTCAAACAAAAATGTCTATATTTGATCTCCCCATCCCCAAACTTGCTCAACCTTTCAGTCTGATGCTTTCAGCTGAAATAAGAGGAAAAGAAAGCATTAATCTCCCACAAGAAAGCATTAATCTCCCACAAGATACATAGCCTGCTGGTTCTAGGTCACCCTTTGCTACTGGCATTGTTTGCATCTTAGCTGTTCTCAGCCACCAGTAACATCACTGTATACTTGAAATGCTGTAATAAATGTGGCCTGAATAATCCACTGTGGAGCTTCTGTATGCTCTGGTCTTTGAAGTTCTGCAAAATGTTGGGAGTGTGGGATTCCATTAGGAGTTTTAACTTTGATAAATACTTTAGCTAGCGGTTCTCTGGGATTCTTAGGTCTCTTTTATTGTAGGCTTGACTGCAATGCTTTCAAAAGTGGTTAGAAACATTTCTTGTGTAAGTAGGTAGCTAATGCTTATATCCATGCTTTAATGGGTGATTAAGGTTAAGCCACGTGTTGCCTCTGTATAAGCTCTTCTGCCTCTTCAGCCCCTGCATGGCGACGCACAAGCATGGCAGAGCTGCACTGCAGCATGTCCCTGTCAGGTCCAGGGCATGACTTCAAGCACCATTGTAAAACCTGCAGAGTGAAAGAGTGGAAAACAGGAGGGTTGCTTATCTGCCTTTTCCTCAGTTGCTCACAGCCCCACCAGCTAAGTTTCTTGGTCTTTGCAGTTCTCTACTATTATGTTGGACAGAAGCTGCCAGCCTGAGCTGAGGAGGATCCTCTGTTGAGGACTGTGACCACGTGGAAAAGACATTGGTTTTTGGATCTCCTCGAAGCTCCTGGTAATTTCTGTTGGTGACTGCAGTTGCTAAATGGCAAGTTTTTAACCTCTTAAGGTTTCTGCTTTAAGGAGTACCTCAGTGGCTGGAAGCAAGTTCCTCTAGTGCTGGTCTCTAAGAGAACTAAACTCATGGCATCTGCCCTGAAAGAAGGGAGGTCAACTTCGAGAAGCCCAAGGGGAAGGGGCAGCCTACAGAGTGGAGCTGAGCATCCTTCAGTGATGAGCACTGTAAAAACAAGGTATTTTTGCAGAGCCTCAGGTGACTGACAGAGGAATGGTCTAGGAGAAAACATGAAGGTGGCAGTATGAAAAACAGCAACAGCTGGGATGAGGCAGTGCAGTGGGTTTGGGCAGCACCGTTGTGCTCAGCAATTTTGGTACTGGCACCATGAGCATGCTTGCTTTGCTCTTCCTGCTCCTTGAAGAGTTGGTGATTAAGCTGATGGCTGGTGGGAGTCTGCTGCCGTGGAGCTGTGACCAGTGGAGAAAAGAAGTCAGAGAGCTAAGTTGTGCAAGCTGCAGCTGTTGGGACACAGTTCCATCAGGAGGCCACATCCTTCAGGGTCCACATGATGGTGCAGAGAGGAGGCTGTACTCTTTGCAGGCTCTGTGAAATTCGCTGCTGGATGCAGCACTGTAGGAATATCAGTTTGGCTCTCAGCAAAAAGCTGTGGGTCCCTGGCAGGAAGGAGCACGAGGAAGGTATTCCCTGACTTGATTGTGAGGCAAGGATCTTGTGTGGAATTGGCAGAGAAGTTTTTGGTGGTCTTTCTAGAGCTGTCTGACCCTAGCTGTAACAGCTGCTGTCAGTGTGGTGTAGCTCTGCAGCAGTTACGGCTGAGTACACAGCATGGGGTATGTTTGTTATCTGTAGTTTTGGTCCAGCAAAGGAATTTTACGGACATCACTTTGTTTAATGGAGCTTGGGATGTCCTTAAATCAAACAGTGTCTCTTGAGGATGGAGCACACCGATGAGGTTTCAGAGTCTCTGTCTGCTCCACGGAGGTGTCATCTGCATCTTCCCAGATTGATTTCCAAGCTTCCAAAGGCTGTGCTTGCAGCTTGCTGGGATTCAGCCATATGCAGGTGACAGAAATTATTTGGTGTGGTTCACCAGCAAACATAAGACTAGTAGGGGCTAGAGTTGGGTTGGTCTGGGCCAAGCAGGGTCAAGAAAACCCAAGAAGCGTGAAGTAGAGCTGTGTCTTCAAGCACTGTTAAATCATGTCTCAGACCAGACAACTGGTGATGACACTGAGAACTTCTGGGACAGCGGGGTTACTAACACGGTGAAGGGCCTAGAGGGGAAGGCGTACGAGGAGCAGCTGAGGTCACTTGGCCTGTTCAACCTGGAAAAGAGGAGGCTGAGGGGAGACTTCATCACAGTCTGCAGATTCCTCATGAGGGGGAGTGGAGGGGCAGGCACTGATCTCTTCTCTTCAGTGACCAGTGATAGGACCTGAGGGAATGGAGTCAAGCTGCAACAGGGGAGGTTCAGGCTGGATATCAGGAAAAAGCTCTTCACTGAGAGGGTGGTCACACACTGGAACAGGATCCCCAGGGATGCAGTCATGACACCAAGCCTGTTGGGAGTTTAAGAAGCATTTAGACTATGCTCTTGGTCATATGGTCTGCGTTTTTGGGTAGACCTGTGTGGTGCCAGGAGTTGGACTTGATGATCCCTGTGGGTCCCTTCCAACTTGGGATATTCTATGATTCTACTTCCTAGGGTGTTGAATTTCAAGATGTCTGTTAATACTTTATCAGGCCAGTGAGCGTAGGAGGATGCAGTATGCACGAAGTTCCCAGCCTTGGAGGAGATGCTGTGGTGGGGAAGGGACCCCCTCCAACTCCTGGGGATGGGAAGACTGGAGAGATCTGTGAAAACAAAGCAGGCTGAGAGGGGCTTCCAAAAGCCAAACAATCCTCCCGTGAGCCTTTATCTGGTTGTGCCCATCATCCCCTCTGCATGAGCAAAACCCCTGCCCCAGCAATGGTTAGGTGTGCATCTGTCTGCATGAGGGAGCGTTGAGCAAGCCAGGAGAGATCCTCGTGTGCTTGAGCCTGAGAAGGGCAGGGGGCATTAGCTAGCTCCTTGGAGGCAAATGGGGCACGTACCCCGGGGGACTTCCCAGGGCCAACAGCCCGTCATCACGCAACGTGTTCTGCTTACAAAAGCAGCAGCTGTCCAGGATTAACCAGGGCAAAGGCTGAATTCTGCAGATTCAGCAGCCAAGCACCACGCATCAAGCTGAGACAGCCCCGCGTCGGCATGGGGGCACAGGGAACTCATTAGCACAGTGCTTTGGTCAGCCCAGAGCGAAGCGACCTCTTCCACCTCCAATGGAAGACTTATTTATTTATTTATGTATTATTTATGGTCAATTTATCGCTGTTTTTTAGGTCAGCCCCTGAAGCAGCACACCCCCTCTCTGAGCTCTGGCCCGGCCTCGCTCCCTCGCCGGGGGGCGCACGGAGGCCGCTCCGGGCCCTTCCCGGGTCTCGTCAGGCGGGGCCCGGGGGCTGGGGGCGCTGCGGAGCCGCCTCTGAGCGGAGCCCGGCGGGGCCCGGCCCTTTCCGGCAGCGCGGAGCCGGGCGGGATGGCGGCACCGGGGGGCGCGGCGGGGCCCGCGGTTGAAGCGGAGTCGGCGGCGGCGGGGGGGGGCCGGCAGCGCGCCCTGGGCGCCTACTCCCCCGTGGACTACATGAGCATCACCAGCTTCCCTCGCCTGCCCGAGGAGGAGGCGGGCGGAGCGGCCGAGGGCGGCCTCCGAGCCCGGAAGGAGGAGGACGCGTTCCTGGGCGAGCAGGACACGGGTGAGGGGCGGCGGCCCGGCCCCGCATGCTCCCGGCCCCCGCGGCGCCCCCCAACCCCGCGCCGTGCCAGGGCCGCCAGGTCAACCCGGCACCCACCCACCTCCCCCCCCGCCCGCTCCCTCGCGGCCTCCCCGGGCTCGCTGCCGTCTCCCCCCGCGTTCCCCTCCGAGCTGCGGGCGGCACGGCCGAGCCACGGCGACCCCAGGGCCCTGGGGGCTGCCGCACGTTGCCGCCTCGCTGCCCGGGCAGAGCGGATCGGCGTGGGGGATGCCATCAAACCACGGCTCCGTCTCATTCATTTCACAGCTCGCATCCACATTTCAGCCTTTCCCACTGCAAACAGCTGGTGTTGCTCGTCCTGTCTGCCTCGGCCATGTGCTCCAGGGGGGCTGAGTGGTACCTTCCTGGCCTTGGTGCTGTACACAGCACGCAGGAGCTTGCTGGGCTCCCACCTCCTTATTTTTCCCAGTCCTTGCAGAGCCCCTCATTGCTCTTGCTGGGCCATGCCTGGAGTAGCAGGCACTGGGACTGCCCTGGAAGTTGGTGTTAGCAGCAGATACAAGGACTTGGGCAAAGAGCTAGCACTCCTTCCTGCCAGATGCATGATTTTAATAAAGCCAGGTGTACCTTTCATCCTTGAGAAAACATTTTTGCCTGTTTTTATTTTATTGCTTTCTTGTAAATAGTCCAGAGTATTTTTTTTTCTGCTCCATGTCATGTTTCCACAAGCAACATAGGCCTTCGCTGCCTAAGATTCCCCGGTAACTCTACCACAAGCCCTGAGCTCTTCCCTGTGTAGCACCACTGACTGCAGTTCACTGCCCCTGGTTTCGTTAGTCCCAGGGCCTGCTCCTGCTCTGACCCATTTGCTGAGGGAGCAGGATTTGGGGTCTGAGGAGTGACAATAATTGGTCACAAATTGCTCCGCAGCCAAGTGCATGCAGCTCCTGGACTGCTCGATAACCTGCAGGTGGATGTCAGCGCCACTCGTACCGTGTCCTAGGCCTCATCTCACTGTGTCCAAGTGGTTTTCATTGTCCTCATCCCATTCCTCCCAGTACTCCCCTGTGACTGGACCCTGCAAGGTGAAGTTGCCGTGGGCAGTATGGCAGGAGTAGCACGAGATCTCTTGTTTTGTGTGTGGGGCACAAGCAGAGGTTTTTGTGGTTTGGGCTCTGCAGGGGTCCTGCCAGGTGCAAGTCTCCACTCCGAGCACTTGGTGTCCCCAGGTGCCACCTGGAAGAACTGCATTTCCTGTGCTGCCACGTGGAGCCTCGCACTCATCTGACATCGTGTGTGTGTTGCAAAAGCCATCCATGCTTCTTCATGCCACATCATCTGCCAAACCCATAGGGGAGGTAATCCAGACCTTTGGTTTCTGCCACACAGATGGTCTCACTAACAGGGGTGTACACTGTTGTGCTGTTGGTGATGGGGAGAACCACCCCAAAGGACTGCAGAGTGCCACGTTGCAGCGCCCACTGGGGCATGCAAACAGCTCTGGCTTCTGCTGGCCCCACCGCAGCATGTCCTGAGCCAAGGTGGTCCTGTGTCCCCACAGCGCCGGTTCCCACAAGAAAACAGGCCTCCTCCACAGCTCCTGTGGAAGCCAAGTAGGGTTTGGTGGCTTCTCTTGCAAGGAAGAAGGGGGAACACTGGGTGCTGGGACAGGCACCTGCACATTAACTGCACAGGATGCTTCTTGCCCTCTGTGCTCCAGACCAGCCCCTTCCTGCCAAATCATGGCCACGCTGTCCACGTGTGTGGTGGTTTTACCTTGCTAGGCAGCTGAGCTCCACCACAACCATTCTCTCACCCCCTCAGAAGAGGAGGGGAAGAAGAAAAGGAAAGAAACAAACAACTCACGGTCTGAAATAAGGATAATTTTATTAAATGAAAAATAATTATTAAGGGAAAAATATTATTAATGAAACAATTTAACTAAAGGTAAAAGGGAAAGGGAAAAAAACAAACAAACAAAAAAAAACACGAGCAAAGGCTGTGTGGAAGTGCAGAGGAAAGAAATTCCTCTCTGCTTCCCACCAATGAGCGATGCTTGACCACGTCCTTGCATCAGGGCCTCAATGCATGTAGCCGGTGTTTGGGGTACTTTGCCCTCAGCTGGGTCCCTCTGCCCACACACTGCAGCTCCACGTGCTCAGACCAGAGGTGACAATTCTGTGGCCTTCCCAGCTCTGCTCCTGGGTCCCTGTGGTATGAAGGGGATTAATCTCACTCCAAGGGGATTCTCTGGCTGTGGGGTCGCAGCGCTACTGAAATTAGAGCTGCCACCCCCCTGCCTGGTCCCAGGGACCTGCCTGGGGCTGAGCATGGCCCTGTGGTACTGTCACAGGACAGGGTGGCAGCCCCCAGGGAGGTGCTTCTGACAGAGGAGGCAGAGGTGCAACGGGGCTGTGGGGCTTTCTGCTTGCTTGTCACCACATCCAGAAATGTCCCCAGAACAGAACGGCCCCAGGACAGGCACACAACCCTGCCACCACCATCACCACCCCTTGGATGTCTGCTGAGCGAGTGACGAGCTGGGCTGTAGGGACCCCTCAGCCTTCATCTCCCCAGCCAAAGTTCCAGGTTTGTGCCCCAAACTCCTGCTGGGCCCCAGCAGCTCACGGTCCCCCAGTCCAGGCCAGCCCCGCTGCAGACTGGTGGGGAGCAGTCCTGAGCACCTCGCCCTTGCTGCTGAGTGCTCCTCTTCCTGCCCTGCTTGTTTTTGGGGAGCCCCAGGACCTCCTGGCTGCCCTGAGCCGATCGGGGCCGGGTGGTGACCATCAGGGACAGCCCACTCGGTGCTGTCTGGGTATGCTCAGCAGGCCTCCTCCCTACCTCAAAGGCAGCAGCTGATCTGGGCAGAGTCAAGGTATGTTTTGGATCTTTTTGGTCACCCTGAGACTTGCTTTCTGCCTGGCCAAACTCTCTCCCATTGCATTCACCACCTGGGCATTCAGCACGCAGCTGGATCTCGTAGGGGATCTCGTCAGCCAGAGGAAGGAATTCAAGCAAAGCCTGTCCTGCAGCCAGGCCTGGAGGACCCGCTGAGGTCCAATTTGCAGGTTTGCTCTTCTCTGCCCCCACTTCGTCATGCTTCAGTGGATGTTTCCTGTGCCTGGGCCTCTATTTTGCTCAGATGCTCAAGCATAGCTCCAAATAAGGCTGCTACTCTTTCAAATCTGAATTTCCTCTTCTTCAGTCTTGATGCATTTCTGAGACCTGTTTGCAAGTCAGCCATCCAAATGGGTCCGTCCCTGGAAGCTTGTTAACAGACTAAAATGGAGAAAAATTCCATCTTTTTTTTTTTTTTCCCCTCTTAATCTCCATGGAAGTCATCTTGGAATAGGTAGAGCTAAAGGAAGGAAACAATAAAAGAGCCCAGAGCAGCATCTGAGCCAGAAAGTCTATTGAGAGCTGGTATCAATAGGGAAGGTAATAGCCTTGCTGGACACAGCTCCATGTAATGTTAGTGCTGGGTAAACACTGCAACAGGAGCCCTGTGTTGCTCAATACCTAACCCTTGTTTTCTCCCTGCTGCTCACAAAGACCCAGACTCCTTCCTGAAGTCTGCACGTCTCCAGCGCCTGCCCTCGTCCTCCTCGGAAATGGGCAGCCAGGACGTGTCCCCTCTGCGGGAGACCAGCAAGGACCCGTTCTCCGGAGACTGCAGCTGCCGGCAGGACGGGCTGACTGTCATCATCACTGCCTGCCTCACCTTCGCCACAGGGGTCACGGTGGCCTTGATCATGCAGATCTATTTCGGGGACCCTCAGGTAAGATGAAACTGGCTTTAGAGCATGCTGCGGGCTTTGGCTCTGAAAACAGAAGAGGTTCCCTCATCTGCCTCCTTGCCAGTGGTTTAGCCCTGGTAGGTGTCAGTGAGACCCTGGGTGCTGAGTCCCTCTCTCAGCAATTGTCCTAAATTCATAGAATAATAGAATATCCCGAGTTGTCTGAAAGCTTTATTGCGTTGCTTTTTTAGGAGCTGGGGGCAATTGGTGGTGTCAGACTGAGGTCTGAGCTCCTGCACCGTGCTGGGGCAGCTGTGCCCAGCAGGTCTGGGGATGATGTGGGGGCATCAGGCAGCCCCACTGGTGTCTCTCCAGCCATAGTCAGAGCCAGCTGTGAATGCTTTTCAAGAGCTGCTCTTGGAACAGCAGGAGGTAATGTCCGTGCATCTCCACTTGCAGAGTTTTAGGGATCCGTATGTCAGGGCCCATCTCTGGAAGGATCTGTGCAGGGGAATTGCTGAAATCAGAGCTGACCCCTCTGCAAAACCCTCCCATGGAGCAGTGCTCCTCTGCAGAGCAAAGGCAGCGTGGTTGTAGGGTCATGCCACCCTCAGGAAAAATACACTGCAGAACATTTTCAGCTGTAGCCTGAGGGGCATACAACCATCACGGTCATCTTCTCCACCTCGTGCCCAGCAGGGCAGACCTGGCTGCAAATCCAGAATGGGAGCTTTGTGCATTTTTTTGATTATTTGCTTTCTTACCGGAATTCAAAACGTGGCTGTTGGGAGCGGAGCAGCTTGGCCCTGCGGCTACCAGGCCGAAGCGGGCTGAGAGCCTGGTACAACCATCTCCTCTCCGGCAGATCTTCCAGCACGGTGCCGTGGTGACGGACGCTGCCCACTGCACAGCCCTGGGCATCAAGGTGCTCAACAAGCAGGGCTCCTCGGTGGATGCAGCCATCGCCTCAGCCCTCTGCGCAGGAATTGTGAACCCCCACGTGTCGGGCATCGGCGGGTAGGTGGTGACCCCCTGCCCTCTGCGGGTGGGCTCAAGCGTGTTGGTTCCTGTCCTGCCAAGCTACAGCATGCAGGACCACAGGGACATTGACCTTCCCACAGGCTACAGCTACTGAAAGGGCCCGACGTGGCAGCAAGGGACAGAGCCCCCTGTGAGGGAAATTCTGTGCCTGTGGTAGCAGCTGCCAGCACAGTCCCAGCCGCAGGCTTGAGAGAGTTGAAAAGTGACTGTGGGTGACTGAGCCCCAGTGCGGGGTGCCAGCAGCTCACAGCACCCAGGGTCAATCCCAGCACCTGCAGAGATCGAGCACTTCCCTCTGTAAGATCTGCTTCTCGTTAGCAGGAGCCCAAGGCCCGATTCCAGCCGGCCCCGACTCCCCTCCTGCTCCCGGTACATCCCTGGGCTGGCGCCTGCGTGGGCCCAGTGCACTTGGCTTCACAGGAGATCCTGGGAGCATTGCATAAAACCACCTGATAGCTCCTCCAAGCTGGGCAGGAGGTTGCTCCGTTGTAAGCAAAGCACCTGCTTTGTTGCAAAACAGCTAGTATTAGAAAGAAAATCCCACACTGGCCTAGCCCAGCAGTGGAACAGAGCCAGTGGCTCTCTGGGCAGGCTGTCAGGGGCTGACCCGGCCTTGCTGCAGGCTCAGTCAACTCAAACCCACGCTTTGTGCTGGCATTATGGCAGTGGCTGTGTCTGGGACAGACGGTGCCATGCCATGACCCCACTTTTGCCACAGGGGTGGGGTGATGCTGGTCCACGACATCCGGAAGAACCGGAGCCAGGTGATCGACTTCCGTGAGGTGGCTCCCCTGGGCATCCCGCTGGAAGGGGACCTGCAGAAGGACACCAAGGTGAGGAGCCCTCCCTCGGGGCCAGAGCTGGCCGGTGTCCCCAGCTGTCCTCTCCCAGCAGCTCCTGGGCCCAGTGGAAGATGCCCAGGGAAGTGGCTGGAGACCTCTTCCACCATGGGACGTCTATGCCCTGCAGACATGGGGAGCCTGTGGGAAACACTCCTTCAGCATCCCTGGAATGCCTGGAGTGTGCAGGGCGTGGGGAGCAAGGAGGTCCGCTGGGGTGAGGGCAGGGAATAAGGCATCTCCCTCCAGCAGGGGGTAGCTGGGAGAACAGAAGTTCCGGGAGGGAGCAAGGTCCTGTGTCATTCTGCTGGGTTATTTCTCCTGACCAAATTGGGCTGACACTGGTATTGAAGTTTCCTCTTTCCTTCCAAGGACTTATTCCCTAATTTAGTGTCTTGCTACAGACCCCTTCTTGTCTCCTAAAAACGATGCAAACACCTTCCTTATAAGCATGAATTGCAGCTCCTTGACTTGCAGCCGGGGACCATGTCCTCACAGGAAGGAGACTCTACTCTTCTTTTTCATCCTTCCTTTTTCTACAGCCAGGTCTGCTGGTGGGGGTGCCAGGCATGATACAAGGCATGCACCAGGCGCACCAGTTGCATGGGAGGTAAGTTCTTTGCCCTGCACAGGCTGTGCCCCACGGTCCCCGGGGAGCTGGGAGTATGCAGCCCCTCACCATCAGACTGTGCTCTCAGCCACTAGTCAAAAACATTAGTAAGCGGGTAGTTGTGGGCTTGTGTTGAAAAGTACCTTTATCTTTTGGTGCTTTATTTAACAGAAGAAATAAATCAGCTTGGTCAGATTTTCTGCAAAGTGAAATTCTGGCAAATGTTTTCTAACAGGACAGACAGTTAATGTTATCTTAGAAATATGTGCAGAATATTTTCACGCATTTTCACACATTTTTTAGCTCTCTCTTTAGCTAGACACTGAGAAATGTGGTTGTCCTTGTTGCCCTACTGGGACAGCAAAAGGGAGAGTCTGAATAACTGCTCGGGAATGTGAGGTTTTGCTCCAAAGATGCCCATTTCCCCATCTTTGCATTGTCATTTCCTCTGGGGCACAACACAGATCACTGTGATGATCCTGCTGAAAAGAAATGACAAAGCTCAGTGCTCATTTTGGCCACAACTGGCCCTGCAGCCTGGTGTGCCGAGAGCCCCCAGGTGCAGAGGCCAGCCCCTGCCCGCTCCCCTGGCTGTGCCACGCACCTCCAAGGCACGCGGCTCCTCCTCTGCTCTCCTTTGGCAGGCTCTCCTGGTCAAAGCTGCTGGGCCTCGTGGCTGCTGTTGCTCAGGACGGGTTTAATGTCACACATGACTTGGGTGAGCACATGCTGGGGAGTCAAGGTGGCTGCTCCGTGCACAGGAATCCACCACAAGGGTACCAGGCTGTAGGCAGGGCTTGAGAGGGAGTGGGGGGTTGTACATGGGGTATCAGAACGCTTTGGAATTGGGAATGGGTGGTGGTGGGAGGTGAGCGAGTCAAAGCAGGGGTCTACAAGAGGGGAGCATGGTGACAGCTAACCTGGAGCCCTTCCCCCGGGCTGGCGGGGAGGTGGTGGGGTTTCTTTGGGTTTCCTTCCTAGCTGCAGTGGGGATGCAATCTACCCACCTGCGGTCTGGCTCGCTGGTTTGGAAAGGGCAAGAGGCAGCAGCAAGTCCCCAGGTCCCCTGCATGTCCACGCATCCTGGGGTTTCTGGATGTCCTTCCCCTGCCCCTCCCCTTCTCACCCACAGCCAAAGCTCTGACTGAACTGAAGGACCTGAACTACTCTGACAAATTCCGGGAGATCTTCCTGCCAGACGGCCAGCCTCTGCTGCCTGGCATGTTTGTGAGGCGCCTGGACCTCGCAGCCGTCTTGGAGCTGGTGGGAGCAGAAGGGCCATCAGCCTTCTACAGCAGCAACTTGACCCAGGAGATCATCTCTGAGGTGAGACACATCTGTCCTTGTCTCTGCCCAAGGCCACGGCACAGTACAGCCTGGGAGGGGAATGCCACCTGTCACATCACCTCGTTAAGTTGGGACAACACCTGGAGATAAGCTCCTCACTCCTTATTGGAGAGGTGCACTACTGGTGAGAAGAAAATTGTCGTCGTTAATGGGACTGTGTGAGTTACAGGCTCTGTGAGGATGATTTGAAAACAAAACTGTGAGCTTTGTGGGTGGATGATCAGACAGTCTTGGTTCCACTTAGGTTTGCCCAAGTTTAATTCCTGTTGCTGGAGGTGCTCTAGAAAAGAAGGCAAAAACAAGGAATTATTCCAGTAAAAAAACAAACAAAAAACAAAAACTACTGTGGCCAGAGTGGGAGAGGTGATGAATCTTTATGAGCACACTAAGACAATTTTTATGTAAGTTATACTGGAAATCTACTTTATACCTGTGTAGCTGCAGTCAGGGTGGTTAGTGGGACCATTTTCCCCTGCCGTCATGGTTCAGGTGATGCTCCTTCAACACGTCACCAGGAATCTGGGCTGGGCTTATTCAGCTCCAGCCTTAGACATGTGAGCTCTGTGTTAGGAAACCTTCTCCTATGGTTCACGTGGACCACAGCGGAGGTGGAGAACAATGAACAGAAGTCCCAAGCTTGTGGTGCATCTCCACAGCCTAACCCTGCTTTATCACTCCTTCCCCCTGATCTGAGGGCTGTTACAGGGAAACACAGGCTCTCCATGGAGGAGCAAGGCCCAGGGTTGCAACACAAAGGACCTCATCAGGCTCTGGATCAAGTGTGCTAGTCCAACTTCAGTTGCAGAGCAAATTGCTGGCTTCCCACATCAGCTTCACAATGTTTATTGTTTCAGCAAAGGAAGGGGTGGTAAAACTCCAAAACACCCTACCCTTTGTTTCTATCATGAGCTGGGAAGGCACTGGTGCAGAAAAGTGTTATCCAGGGAATTTGAGACGGTGTCTGCAGTATGTGGCTGAATGGGTTTTCTGTATTTTCTGCGCCCTCTGACTCCACCTGCCCCATGTCCTGCAGCTTCGCCCCAGCTCTCCTTTGGCCGAGCTCCAGGAGCTTCTGGCACAGGCTGATCTCAGCCACTGAGAACAACATGGCTGGCTCTATAGGATCACCTTAGGGAGGGAACAGGCACTCCACAGAGGAGCTACAATTTCTTTTGCAGTTTTGGGGTGGTTTGACATGCTAACCCCTCTAGATACACACTACGTTAGCTTTCCTGCTTCGGTGACTCCACCACTTCTGCTGGAGTTTTCCTGCCAAGTTAGGTGTTCTGGATAGAAATCCAGAGGTCACACCCTAGCAGAACCTCTTAACCAGCCTGCATGGCTTCTCCTGGGAGAAAGACAAGAGGTGGCCCACGAGCACAGTACCACCTGTGTACTGACTGTGGTACTTGTCTCAGGGGATTTTAAGGCCAGCAGAGACCTTAAAATGGTCTATTTCCATCATGATGGTCCATGATGGTCTATTTCCATCATGATTCAGCCATAGAGGACCTGCAGTGGAGGGAATTACCCACCTTTACTGCATACATGAGAATTACTAAACCCAGTATGTTCTACCTCTGGGAAAGTATTACAGAAAGACCAAGGGTACATCAACATTTCTATCACCTGAAATAATTAAAAATAGGGCGGGAATTGAGGCCTAAAGGTTTCTTATGATAGGCATCTGCTGCACCCAGGGTCCTTCCTGGAAGCAGTCAAATGCTTCATAACCATTAACATATGCATCTTTGCCACCAGGGGGGCGAAGGGGGAGGGAAGAAGGCTGCAAGGCAATGCAAGTCCCCATCCTCATGTGTTGGCAGAACTTCCAGCACAGCTAGAGTGAGCTCAGTGGGTGAGCTTTTGAAGGTGAGCTGCAGAGCTTCCAGAGGTAGTGAGTGGTGAGCCAGGCCACCAAGGCCATGAAAACACAGATTATTCGAGGGATTCTGAAAAAACTGGTGCCTGGATTGCACTGGAAGTGGTCAGAAATCTCACAGGTATTTAACAACATGGTGATTGCTCACCCAGGCCAGCATGAGGAATGCAGAAAGCCTTGACCCAGCTTTTTCAGCATGCGCTGCCTTGTTCTCCCACTCAGGTGCACAACTATGGAGGAGTCCTGGTGGAGGAAGACTTCAGCAATTACAGCATCATAGTGGAGGATCCTGTCCACACGGTATATCGAGGTAAATGCTGCTGCCTGACCCACTGCCACACAACTGCAGTTAAAAGTTTGCTTCATCTGGCAGGAGGTGACAGTGTCTGTAACAGCATCTGCAGAAAAGCCCTCCTGAGAGATTCCTTCTGTTGCCTACTGAGCCTGATGCATCAGAGGAGGTTCAGGAGGTTTCTAGAACTTTCAAATGGGCCTGTTTTTTTCCTTGGCAGTGACCCATTGCGTTTTGATAGAATTTTACTATATAAAGATGCAACATGGTCCCACATTGATGCAATATCTAGATGTAGCTGGACCACACACTACTGCCTACATCTGAAGATGACTCCCAAAGTTGATCTGCAAAGGAGAAAAGCTCATTTTATGCAAAAAGTTTTTAAAATATCATATTCTTATAGAAATCCCTGTATTCACTCTCCTTACAGCTATAACATTACAAACCCATTTCATCTCCATTCAGCCATACTGAAGTCCAGAAACCACACAGCCAACCAACAAGAACTGAATTTCAGATGTAAAGAAACATCCCTCTCTGGACTTCCTTTATGCATCTTAAAGAAACAAAAGACACAGCAGGAATATTTTAGGAAACACTTTTCAATTATCTCCTCAAATCTGGAAAGGCTTCCCTGTCCTCAAGGACAGGGAAAGAATTATCTTTCTCTGAATTATCTTTATCTATAATTCTTATGGGAAAGAATTATCACTGAACAGTATCTAAAAATGGAACTTAATTTCTCTCTTCTTCCCTTCACAGGTCATCTTGTTTTGACTCCCCCACCTCCACATGCAGGTCCTGCACTGATCACAGCACTGAACATCCTTGAGGGCTTTAACATCTCAAGTCAAGCATCCAGGGGGAATATCTTGCACTGGATGGCAGAGGTAAGAGGAGATTCAACATTTGTCTGAATTTGTTAGGCTGCTGGAGAATAATTCATTTATTCCTTGATTGTACAAAAGTGTTTGTAGGTAATTCCCAGAGGAGAATGAGCAAATAGACTGCTAAAGTGTAAATCTGAGCTGTGCTGCTGCCTCAGGTAGTTGCAGATCCTGGAGCCTGCTGCTCCCTCATACACAAAATATCGCCTGATACACTCAGCTCCCTCAGCATACAGTTTGCCATAAAAATCTGATGCCCCTTGATCCCCATACCCATGTTTCACTGAAGTGGACATTTGAGTTCATAGGGTTTAGCCAACATGCTGGAAGAGCAGGTACCTCCTCTTTGGGGTATCAAAGATGGTGTTTCCAGGTCCATCTAAATGATGCTATATGTCTGTCTGTCTTTCTTTCTTTCTTTCTTTCTTTGTGTGTTCAACTTAGACCTTAAAAGTAGCCCTGAGTCAAGCTAGCAACTTGGGAGACCCATCCGATGATGTGTCTGTCACTCATGCTGCAGAAAGCATGTTGAGGTAGGTCTGAGGCTGATGGGCACAGTGGTAGTTGCAAGATGTCTGATCTGGATATCATTTGGGAATTTGCTCTTTTTAGTGCACAGGGAGACCTGAGGTTTTTCTGCCTCTGTTTTACTGAGGAAAGGTCAGTCTTTGAGTGTCCAGCCTAGCGATCACTTTCCCACAAGGATCACAGCTGGTACCACAGGTCTCTGGAGATGAATCATCAAATGTCCTTGCACAGAGGTTTCCTGGAGCCAGTTTGATCTTGAGGGTTCCTCCCACTTTCTGAACCTTCTAACTATTCCTTCTCAGGAGGTCAGACAAACTCTCTCTGCAGTACATCCAATGATGCAGGAGAGGCCAGCCTCAGGACTTCAGCCCAGCCTGCTACCTCAGAGCCAGGTTTAGCCATGGTTGGTGGCCAGTGCTGGATCTGTCTCACCCTCCTCTGCCCTCAGAGGACCAGCACTCAGCCAGTGGTGACACCTCATGACTGTCAGTGGGTGAGTTCGTGCCCACAGATAGAGCCTGGGAGGTTCATGGTGTTCCCTTGTTTTGTGGGCTGAGCCTATTCATTCCCTTCCATCAGATGAACCAGAGGAGCTCCCTGTCCTTAGGACCAGCCTCCTCAGAGAAGCACAGCCCTTAGCTATGTAGATGTGCTCCCACCAAGAGATGTCAAGCATTCTAAGCTCATTGCCTTCTTATCCCTTTCACCCCCTCATTGCTGAAGCAAATCAGAAGCTAACTCCTTGCGCCAGCTGATTAACGACTCCCAGTCCTTCTCGTCTGATTTCCGCTTGCCGCACTTCTCTGTGGAGAGCGGACCTGCTGCCAGCCAGGTTCTTGTCATGGGGCCTGACGACTTCATTGTTGTGGCTGTAAGGTAAAGGAGTTGCTTCTCTCCGCAATATGCTCAGAGGGTGGGAGCGGCGAGAATAATGCAGGTTCAGCAGGACAGGATAAAGCCATATTTGAAGCTCTGTCACAGGGGGCAGCAGGCTTCCCCCCCAAAACAAACCTAGCCTAGAGCTGCTGCTTCAAGCCTACTGGGTCAGCCCATGGTCTGCCCCTCAGAGAGCCTCAAAAGGTAAAGTTTAGTGAGAAAGGTTGTACTTTTCTAGACAAGATTTGTGCTCACAGAATAAATTTTGAATTGATCCTTAAAGTAAAAACAGCATTCCCAAGCTCCCCAGCCCTCATGGGGCTGCTCTGTCCCAGTTAGTCCTGCAACAAGAAGAATGGGGAAGATGGGATGGAGATATGTGGGCTGTGAAGGCTTTGAGGTACTGCTCTGCCCTGTGCAACCCTACTAACTGCCCACAGCCCTTGTGTTCCTGGTTTGGCCGGAGTCTGCTCCCTAGAGAGGTGATGAATTCAGCAGCATGGAGACAGACTCATCATCTAGAGGAGAATCCTTCAGTACAATGAGGGTCTGGCACACCATTACCCATGTGGTCACTGTGCCTGCTCCCAAATACATGGAGACTCCTGCTGTGCACATCTTACCGGCTGTAAAAAAACATAGAATATTCTCTGTCAAACCAAGATGGTAGAAAAAAATGGAGGACTGAAGGCCTCAAGGTGTACAATAAATCACCGAGAGGAATATTATGAGATTTCTTCTTGTTTCTTTTCAGTTCTTTGAATCGTCCCTTTGGTAGTGGAATAATAACACCTTCTGGAATCCTTCTGAACAGCCAGATGTTGGACTTCTCCTGGCAAAACAAAACAATGAACCACTCCATTCCCAGGCCGGTAATGAACAATGTGACAATTTTTTTGAGTTGTGTCTGCACAACTTTTTTTTTCTTTTTTCTTTTCTCCACAATGGTGAGGCTGTTTGTTGCCTTATTAATAACTTAGTAGCTTTCTATAGACAGTTCTTTGTATCTTTTTATTATACAAGCCACTGAAACAGAGTAAGCAGAAGGCTTTTTGTGTACCAGTTATCACTATAATGCAATGTTATCAAATAGCATAGTGCAGCTGCATGTCTCAGGCACCTATTTTTGTGCCTGAAGACTGGAGGATAGCCAATGTTGCTCCGGTCTCCAAAAAGGGCAAGAAGGAGGATCTGGGAAACTACAGGCCAGTCAGTCTCACCTCTGTCCCTGGAAAGGGAACAGCTTGTTCTGGAGGCCATCTTCAAGCATTGGGTCTGTTCAGCCTTGAGAAGAGAAGACTGAGGGGGGATCTTATTGATGTTTATAAATACCCGAAGTGTGGGAGACAGAGGGATATGGCCAACCTCTTTTCAGTGGTCTGTGGGGACAGGACAAGGGGCAATGGCCACAGAATGGATCACAGGAAGTTCTGCACCAACATGTGAAAGAACTTCTTCACGGTGAGGGTGACGGAGCGCTGGGACAGGCTGCCCAGGGAGGTTGTGGAGTCTCCTTCTCTGGGGATATTCAAGACCTGTCTGGACGCCTACCTGGGCAGCCTGCTCCAGGGAACCTGCTTTAGCAGGAGGGTTGGACCTGATGATCTCCCGAGGTCCCTTCCAACCCCTACAATTCTTTGATTCTGTGATTTTTCCTGAAGCCCAAATGCACTTTAGAGCAACTGTCCTTTGGGAACTTGAATTAAGAATTCTTTTCATGAATTACTACTCTGAAGGTTTAACAGTAATAGAAGAAGAAAAATCATAATTTCTTGGAAACATAAAATTACAGATCAGTACTGGTATCTTCCTTGTTGATTCTTCTTGCCATGTATCGCAAAACTGTCCCACTTTGCTGAATGGATACTTTAGGAGTAGGTGAATGGCTCTGTGTTTCCTCTGTAAAACTTCCATGAAAGCCATGGCAAGAAATGGGCTGGATCCTGTTAACATCAGAGAACATTGTCATAGTAGCAACAATGGCAGCCTTATCAAACTACAGAGGTGTAATTGCCGGCTCAGGCAGAAAGAGTAAGAAGTTAACTTGCACAACTTGAACACCAGCAAAGCCTTTGTCCGCTTGCTGAAATTTTTTTGGTGTGTCTCTTCCTCATTTGCAGCAAAACCTCATTCAGCCTCGGAAACGGCCCTTGTCTTTCTTGTTGCCCACCATCGTGAGACCATCTGAGGGGATGTGCGGGACATACCTGTGTCTGGGAGCTAACAATGGGGACAAAGCCTTGAGCGGCATCGTTCAGGTCAGTGCTGTGTCAGAGTGCACACTCCCTCAAGCAGCTGCTGGGCTCAACGCCAAGGGAGGGTCTCCTCCTGCAGTGCACATTTTCTATCCTAATGTCCTAGTCTGTGTAGCTCTGGTAGCTCTTTACCCTATGGAAAGCTCTTTTTAGTGCACTTTAGACTAAATTCCTCCCTGCTCAGCACTCACTACGATTTGTGGATCTCCTTGTAATTTATTATTTGTAATTGGGTGAAGTACTTGCCAGTAGCATGACTGTATGCACAACTGGATTATTAAAAGGAAGGTTGGCTCCCATTTTCCTTACCCTCGAAAAGCATAATTCAGGGCAAAATTAAAGCCAACCATTGTTTCCTATTGTTTTGTGAGGAGAAGTAACATACTGATCTTCTGGCTTGTAACAAACACAGTTTTAGAGATTATGTCAAGTTCCAGATTTATAACTCTTCCAATTTAGCAGTAACTCTGTGACAAAATGCCCATGCAATCCTTAAGAGCTACCATGTTTCTATCAATGATACATGGGATGCATTTCAAGGTTCTCTTTGTGTGTTTGAAAATCTGCATTAGTTCATGCAGTTTGGCAAGCAGTTCAAATTCTTCTTTGCCTGCTGCAACTGCAGATGTTGGAGCCAACTATTACGGAGATGCTCGGGAAGTTCACTTCTACTCTCATTACTTTTTTACTATTGAGGATCTTTCATTCTCTCGCAGGTTTTGGTAAATGTTTTAGCACTTAACAAGAATCTGAGTGAAAGTTTGTCACTTGGTCGACTTCACCCACAGCTTCAGTCCAACACCTTGCAGGTTGACAGTGAGTATGGATGCTGGGTGTGGTACAGTCCAGAGGTCTGGCATGTTCAGGAGAGTAGCACCATTTCCATAGCACACTGCTGTGGAAGTGCAATAGCCCAGTGTACAGCTCCCCATGTTGTAGGATCCCTGTTGGGTGCAGCAGGTTTGGGGTCAGACAAAAGTAGTAATCTAGCTTCATCAAAATTTGGAGCCCTTGCTGAGCCATGCTGTTGTCTTGGGAACAGTCCCTGGCCCTTCCATCACTACCTCTTCCAACTCTTTTGGATGCTTCTCACCAACCCTCCCTCTGTCCCAACCCACCTCCGAGCAGCAGCCTTGTCCTTTCCTGAAAACCTTTTGTGTGATCTGATATTACGTCACTGCATGTATCCAGATAAACAAGATTGTAAACACACCTTCACCCAGACAGGTTATGAAAGCTAGCAGATCTTCACACACTTTATTACTACTGCCATAAATGCTTTCCTGTCACTTTCCAGTTTGTCTCTCTAACTCCGGGAGCTGCAGAGAAGACAAGGCTTAGGACAAGGCTTTTAGGCTGATGGTACTGGAAATTCAGCATCAATGCTGACACGCTGGAGACTGTACTGCCAGCTCTTGTCCTTGTTATTGCAAGTCTTGGTCTATTTGGTGTTTTTCATAAAGCCCCATATTTTAGCAAAGAGAGCCATAAATGATATTTTGTTCTTATTTCACACAAAATAGCCAAATTTTCTAGGCCTTCCCATTTCAGAGGAAAATCTAACAATGCCTGTCAGGTGTGACCCACAGGCTTGAAAACTAGAATGTAATTAAAACAAATCCAAAACTTCAAAAGGCCCTAATTTGTAGTTTTGGACATTTGGAATCAACAAGGTATATGTATGGGCTTCTTGTGTGCCTGCTGGATTTCTCCAGCTGCATCCCCTGTTTTGTATCCTCAGGCACTTCTATTCATATGAAAATTACAAAACACCAAATAAAAAAAATAAAAGCAGAAGAGTGAACAGCCTAAATTAGGCTGGAAGATTAGGAATTACATAAAGGGGAGGTTGGAAAGCTTATCACGTTCTAATTTACATTTGGCAACTTGGTTTACTGTCATTTGTTTTGAGTTGCTTTGTATCTTACTTTGATTAATGCCATTAGTATTATTTCGAATTGAGCTCTTCAGAGCAGGGACTGCCCTTAGTTCTGTAAACAGAATAATTAGGATCACAGAAACATAGAACGGTTTGTTGGGTTGGAAGGGACCTTAAAGACCATCCAGTTCCAACTCCCCTGCCATGGGCAGGGACATCTCCCTCTAGATCAGGTTGCTCAGGGCCTTGTCCAACCTGGTCTTGAACACCTCCAAGGATGGGACATCCACAACTTCCCTGATCTATCTGTGCCAACAACATATTTTTCCCCTTTTCTAAAGAGGAGGGTCTTCCATGTGTTTGACTGATCTTCAGGATCTTCTCATTTCCTCCCCTACACAGAACACTGTCCAACTCTTTGCTGCTGAGAGCATGCTCAGGGCGGTGAATGCTGGTCCTCTTCGGCCACTCAGGTCTATCTGGCACACCTGAAAACACCACAGGCAGTTTTGTAGACACTGGAGATCCCAACAGGATTAAGACAGAGCTTTGTATCAAAGGCAACAGTGGCTTCAGTTACAAACCCCTCTTTTAAAATCCCTACAGGTGAACTTCCTGAAGAAGATATTGAATGTCTTGTAGCCAGGGGCCATGAAGTGGATAAAGTCAAGGTGATCTCCCTAGTTCATGGGGCCAGGAGAACCAACAGCTTCATCATTGGCCTGAAGGATCCCAGGAGCGTGGATGCTGCTGGAGCCACAATATTATAGCACCTCCCAAACAACATACTCACTGAACAAGGCTTTAGGGAGATCAACCCAAGTGATGTGCATGTTCTGAAATGGCTGCCTCCTTCTCTCCAGAGTGAGACCACTGCATTCACACACATGTATCTACACTGCTGAGTAAACTTTCTGTATTCCCTACCCAGGATGACACAGGGGGGTTAGTGGTGCCAACATACATCTCTGTTTTTTTTCTTTAAAAAAAAATATTTGAAATGTAAGCAGCCCAGTCATTGTTATAGGAATGAAGGGAGGACACTTTTCTTTTGGCAGCATCTTATCATTAATTTCAGTCTTTTCAAAAGCCCAATTCTAATCAACATCTTAATTTTAATGAGCAGGAACATTAGCAAAGAAAACAATGACAGGAAAAAACAGCTGCTGATAATACTGTAAACTTTATCTCTGTTTCTTTCCCAAGTTCATTCTCTGCCTGTTGTGTAAGTCAATAATTAATGCAGCCTAATGTAGTATTTGTAGGTGCCTGTATCTGGAATATCAGGGAATCCTTTAATGTTCTGTATGGGCCAGCTGACTTTTACCAGCATGCAGCCTCCTGTGTTAGTTCCTTTTCTCACATCACTGCATACCTTGATTTTTTTGAGTAAATATTTTGAATCAAGTAGCTGTGCATACTCACTGGAAGACCAATTTTGAACCAGTCTGCCTCTTTATTAGCATAGACCAGCAATTCACTGCTTTTGTTCCCAGAACAGCTGCCCCACCACACGTTTTGTAACCAGAACAATGGTTTTCAACTTTTTACAACTTATGGACCCCCCAGTAGTTTTCTTACATTAGTCCAGCCTCCTCCGTAGTGAATTTACGCTTAGTGGCAATGGACTTAATTTGCTTAGATACTCTCTGGAGATATCTTTGAAATACTACACATACATAAAAAAATGCACAGACCATGGACTGAAAACCACATGGAAACAGATTAGGTGGATTCAGAGCTTTCCTTACACTGCCTTATCTCAGTCTGCTTTGAAAGCCTCAGTTGTATAATCCCTACAGAGAGGCTTGGGATTTTCTGCCTGCTAAATTCAGGCCTGTACTTCAGTTCAGGTGGCTATTAGAAAAGCTGAAGAGAATGAGAGAAACGGTACAATACAAAGCAAAAACCACTGAGATATTTTTCTGTCCACAGCACGAAATACAGAATATACGAATACTTCTGCATTTCTTGACTTTAAAAAATGAAAAAAGCACCACATCTGTTCACTGCACCATTTCATTCAATCTGTGCTTGTACACTTCCTCCTATTTTATTTTATTTTATTTTATTTTATTTTATTTTATTTTATTTTATTTTATTTTATTTTATTTTTTATTTTATTTTATTTTATTTTATTTGTTGTTTGTTTTTACTAGAAAGTTAGATAGAGCCACCTGGCATTGAAAAATCTGGAATTCGATCATTTTCTGAAGTCTAAATTGTGATGATTTCCTTCATGGTGCAAACATGTCTATGGCCATTGTACTTATTACATAAGTATGTCTGTTTGTTGTTGCCTTGGTCTGTCATTTGATGCACGTTAGCCCAACTGTCTTTCTGAGGGAGCCTCTCAGACACTAATTTGTTTGAAATGCGCCTCCCTCACACAAGCTGCCATTTAGCACAGGGCATGCATGGGTTGCTTGGAGGTGGTCAGGAAGCTACCATAGATAATTGGACTAATCGTTCCTGACACCAACCAGCTGAGCATCTCAAAGCACCTTACGCTAATTCTTGCAGGTTGTGCTGAGGAGGGAGAGAGATGTTTTTAAGCTCCACTGAAAGGCAGCCACCCATGAGGCAGCTACTTGGCAGATGGGAACATCTACAGTATTTTCTGTTAGTGGCCTCAGCCAAGAGACGGGGCAATTACGGTGTTATCTTTGAGAAGTTATACACTGTGTCACCAAACTGCCCATATGGCAAGAACAGGCTTTCCTCACGAGAGGGACCTCGAATCTGTTTATTTGTTTTTCTGTCATAGGCGATAGAACTCGTCACTGCCCAAAGTTGGAGCATTCACAAACCATGACATGTCTTGCAACAGACCTCCTTGGGTTTAGCAGGAAGGGGAGGATGCATTTTTGTGTGTTGAATCATACTGGTGGAAATTTGGGACTTTCTGGTAGAGGACAGCAATGATGTGTCCCTCAGACATGGAGGTTTACTGGGCACAACTGCAAAATAAATAGTCAGGTAACTGCTGCTACAGTACTTTGCATGAAATATTACAGAACACTTTGAAAGATAACATTCCTATTTATCCATTCAATTATTTTCCCTAATTCCCTTTTGATGCTGCAAACTGTATACATTTGTAAGATAAAGACTCTGGTCTTGACTCAAAAGGGCACTTGAAATCCTCAAGGTACAATTTCAGAGCAATTAATTGCAAAAAAAGATAAAATTTAGAATAATTGGAAGATGGGTCTTAGTCCCCTAAGTAATGGCTAAGAGAAATAAAGATATTTTGAATTATTTCCCATTTTCTCTGTTTAAAATGGCATCAGTGTAGCACAGATGTATTCAGTACTGAAACCTTTCATCAGGTAATTGGCCCAGCATCTCTGGTGCTTTGACTCAATCTGTTGTGAGGAGATCTGATCAAATCAATTTGTGGCACCTCGAAGTTCCTGACACTTCATTTTGTACGGGTAAGACAGACATTGTAAAATAAAGGGCCGTATCTGGAGATGTGGGTGTGCAGCATCTGCATTGATTTCAACCCAACTATTGCAGATATCTAACAACTCTGAAGCAGAATTTGTCCTGAAATTTGTACAGCAAAGTGTCTGAGGAGCTCAGAACACAAAATACAGGATGGCTGAGAAAAACAATAAATAAAATAAAATATTTAAAAAAATAACAAAATAAAACTAAAAAAAAATAAACAGATGCCTTTGTCAAATGTAACTATTATGGTCTCGAAAGCAATCTACTTGTTTCGGTTCACATTCATGTTGCTTCCCATCGATATATGCAGTTTTTTACATTGGGATAAGCTGATAACAGGATCTGGCACTAAGTGTTGGCTCAATCAGTGGCTTCTCACAAAGGGTCAATGCCATTAATGAGTGCAGTTAACAAGCAGTGCTTTGCTAGCTCTAGATACCTCTGTTGACCTGTGTATGTAAAACCCAGAACACTGCATATAAAAGCCTAAAGGAGGAACAAGGCCAAGGCTGACATCCAGGGGGAATAAGGATGGTCTGGCTTCTCTGCTGTGCCACTCTGTTCCCATCGTTTTCCTGTTCGGTGCATGGACATGGGGACAGGCTGGAGCCTGCACTGCTCCCACCAGCCTGGGCTGGGTGAAACGCTGCTGAGCTCACTGGGGTTATTAGAGCCACGTTGCTGGTGGTGCCTGGGATGAGGAAAGGCTGGAGGCCCCTGCTGCCACTCAGCAGGGCTGTGGGAGCAGGGCTTGCCCTGCCCTGTGCAGTGCTGCCAGCATCTTGTCAAAGGGTGTCCCAGCTGAGGTGGTGGGTTTCTTCTCATGAATGTTCATCTCTTTCATGATCAACAAAACTGTATCTATCATGCACCAAAGATGCTGCAGATTTTGAAGTTTGAGGACAAATCAGGTGGAGTGGGAATTGCTCCTGCAGCACACAGGTGTTTTCATAACAGCCTGGGAAAGATCTTTCCTGCTTCTGTGATGGACTTCTGCATGTTGGTCAGCGAAAGGAGAGCTCTAGCAGGCAGAGAGAGCTTCCGGAGAGGCAAGGTACCCCATGGAAATGAAACAGGCTGGAGCAGAGGGCAGAAGGCATTACACAGCTGTAGCTCTCAAGCACCAAACTGCACTGCCCACGAAGGGCCCTCCAGTGGCCAGAACATTTTTAGATGCAGATTGTCGTCTGGAACTGAGCCTGTCATAAAGTTCTGTGTGACCACAACTACTTGACAGTCACAGCTCTTCCTGCTGGCTACAGGCTGTCTGTCCACCACGACTGTCCCCCAGCACCTCCACGAAGGCAGGGGGATGCTAACACCAGGGCATCCCCAGCCTAGCCCTCGGGTTTGCAGTCAGCTGCCCACCTCTCTCGTTCTCACCATGCTCACTCGCAGATTAACAAAATCCTAGATAGCTATGGAAAGCAGCATGTTATGAAGTACTAAATGGATGTGGAAGATGGCAAGCTGCTAGTGAAGGAAGGGCTCTTTTTTTTTTTTTTTTTTGCAGCTCCATGTGTGATAGACACAGGAAGGTTATCTGAATGGAGCCCCTCAGCCCAGAGCAGAAAGTTAAAGCACTTGAATGGCTGGAGCAGATCTCAGTGTGCTTCCAGAAAACACCGTACTTTCAGAAAACTCAATTGTTGAAAAATAATGCCCTATTTGTTATTGTTTGTTATGGTTTATGGCATGTGCTCTGTGCTAATGAGGATAATGTATACAAAAACAAGCACACAGAAAAAGGTCAACTTTGCATTAAGATTGTAACTAGGACAAACACAGCAGGATTTGGAGGAAAACAGGGATTTTTTAGAATTGCATTATGATCTGTGTGCTAGATGGGGAAGTGCATTAGCTTTTATGGGAAGATCAGACCGGTGAGAAGAGGAGGTTAAATACATCCAGGTAAAAAAAGTGTGTCCTTGCATAGAGGAAAGTATAAAGAAAAATGTGGAAGAAAGGTAATTCTCAGATACCGAAGAAGTCTTCTTTTAGCTTCCTGTTTCCAACTCTAAAGACATGAACAGAGTAAAACAAAGCCCAGGAAACATCTACTGTAATGTGGAAGGCTCATGGCAGAGAAACTCCCTGACAGAAAATCAAACAAGCCCAATGTTCCTTGTTGCCAACCCGTGGCTGATGCCCCATCTCATCTTCTGGTATTTCTGAGGGAATTTCTCAGCAGCTGGGGAAGGGTTGCTCACCAGACCTTGACTCACAAGGTTTTGGACTGGGAAGTGAGCTCTGGGACAAGGTGCATGCACCCCAGCTGTCACACACTGGTCCCAATATCAAGGTAGCACTGCACCTGTAACCAAAAATGCCAGCACAGTTGCAAGCCTGGACTACGGGCCTGTGTTCATTGCCACCTCACCTAGCCCCACTCTTCATGACTTTGTCCCCCCACGCTTCTTCTCAGACCTTTGTGGTGCCTCCTGTTAGGGAAGAGAGGCAGGAGGAGAGGCAGGGCCCCGTGTCCCAGAAACAGAAGACATACATGAGGAAGGACAAACAGAAAAATCCTTTAGCAAAGAATTACTAAATGTTTGTCCCTCAGCAGGCAGTGTTTGAACCACAAATGCTAAGTGAACAATCTACTTAAAGTTCTCCATACACCAAAAATATTTGATATAAACATAAGCCACATAGTAACATCTTTTTTTTAATGTAATGGATTTACATGTCAATTTAAAAAATTGGATTTTTTTCTTGTGTTGTCAGCTTGAGTGGCAAATGAGATTTGAAGTTACTGCATTTAAAAGGTTTTGCAAAAAATGTTTTCCTCTTCCCATGTCATTTATACTGGGTACTGGGCAGTAATCTGCATACGGCCAGCGTCAGGAGGGTTTGCGAGGGCTGGCTCCAGCTGGATCCAGGCAGCTCCATGGGCCTGTGCACCCCTCTTGAAGACAGAACTTACTCAAGTTGCTAATCATACACATTTTATTCTTAATTTCCATGAAGGACTTTTGATCATTTTACTAGCTTTAAATAGTAAGAGCCATGTGCTTCCTTTGTTTACCACAAGCAGATAATCATTTTTCTGATTAAAGCAGTGACTGTCAGGAAGAAAATCAGACATTTCTACAATGGCACTGCTTCTTTATGAGACTTTAGTTTCCCAGTGTTAATAAAGGTTTGCCAGATCCGATGCACATTCCTGGATGGGATCTGTGCCCTGCAAGCTGCTACATGCTAGGTCCCTGCTGTAAACCCCCGGTGTGCTAATGCGTGATTTTAGGCAGTAAGCACCATCATTTTAGGAAGAGCTTCTTTACCGAAAGGGTTGTTAGGCATTGGAATGGGCTGCCCAGGGAGGTGGTGGAGTCACCATCCCTGGAGGTCTTCAAAAGCCGTTTAGATGTAGAGCTTAGGGATATGGTTTAGTGGGGACTGTTAGTGTTAGGTCAGAGGTTGGACTCGATGATCTTGAGGTCTCTTCCAACCTAGAAATTCTGTGATTCTGTGATCTGCATTAAAAATATTGTATCCTAGTAATCTCCTATAAAGTTCTTACACTTTTATTTTATTATTTTTTTTAAGCTTCATGCAGGAAATCCCTTCTATTATTTTATTTTCCCAAACGGGACACAGGGCTGCCCCACAGGGCTGCCCCAGGCGAAGGGTCTCTCACCGGGCTGCCGGTGCAGACAGAATCCCGCTTGGGCTCCCCCCGTTCCCCGCCCGCCGCCCCCTGCTGCAGGACGCGGCCCTTGGGGACAGCACCGGGACCGCGGCGGGGACCGGGACCGGGGGGGTTCCGTGAGGAGCGGCCCCGACCGCGCTGTGGCGGCGCCGGGGCCGCGCTCGGACGCCTGCGCGCGGTGCGGGCGGTCACGTGGCGGCGGCGGGAGGCGGAGCGGCGGCGGCGGCGGCCTGCGGAGGGTGTCCGGGCGCCCCGAGGGCCGACCGCCACCTCCCGCCCCCGCCGGCACGGGGCGCGGCCCCCGCGCGCCCCCCCCCCCGCTCGCCTCACGGCGGCCCCCGCCCCTCCCGCGCTCGGCGGAGCGAGGCACGGAGGCGGCGGCGGCACCGGCGCCAGGTGAGGGCGGGGCGGGCCCGCGGCGGGGCCTCTCCGCGGCCCCCCGGCGGAGCGGAGCGGGGAGGGGAGAGGGCGCGGGGAGCGTGACAGGGCCGGCGGGGCGGAAGCGGCCGCGCCGCGGTGTCAGCGCCCGCGGGGCCCGGTGCAGGCCGCGGAGGGCCCGGGGCCGGGCCGCTCCCCCCCCCCCCCTCCCCGCCCGCCTCACTCGGGCCCCGGGAGGCCGGAGCGTGTCAGCGGGGCCGCGGCCTGGGCCCCGCCTGTGGTGGGGGAGCCCCGGGCCGCTCGGGAGCTGCCCCGCGCCGGGAGGCGGCTCCGGGGCCCTGCGGCGGGCCCGTGCCTGAACCCGAGCCCGGCCGGGGCCCTGGAGCCGCTCTCCCGGCTGAGGCCGGTGCTGGGTTTGGTTTCCCTGCCGCCCGGCCCGCACCGGAGGTGTCAGCGGAGCTGCGCTGCCGGGGCCGGGAGCCCCAGCTTTTGTTTGGAGTTCCCCGTAACTCTTCCAGGCGGTAGCAGAAAGGCTTCTCGGCTTATTCCTGTAGTTTTCTGCATTTCCATAAATTTAATCATTGTGGATTTAAACATCTTAGAAAACTCGGGGTTCTGATTCCTTCTAATTTCTATTTTTATTTTTTTTTTGGGGTGGGAAAGGGGGAAACAGGAAGCAGCAGGCTTTGCTGTTGCTCTCCTTGGCTTGGTTTTGAAAGCTGACGGCAAGCTGTAGCTTTCTGAGCTTTGTTGCTAAGACTTCCTAACCCCTCGCCTTCCAGACCTCGTGCGTGTCATTACCTTAACCAAATCGTGAGTAAGCTGTGGAAAGCTAACAGAAAACTGTAATAAAATCTTTCTCAATTGAATGTTATTGTAGGAAAGGTAGTGTTTCCTGTCGGTGTCGATAGTTAGTGTTCTTTATAGTCTGTCTGTTTCTCTACATATATACAGCTAAAGCATCTTTCAGTATTTCACGTATGAGAAAGCAACCACAAAAAACAAATTTGGTGTTCTCAAAAAAGAGTCACCACGTGAGGTAACCACAACTTTTGGATGTATTGGCTCTTTTCTGGTCACAGCAAGTATTCCCAGCTTCTGTGGGCGTCTTGTGGAGCGAGAAATGAGCACCTCAAGATAGGTGTCTGTAACGTCTGGGTCTGCAAACCTCTGGACAAAACATACTGCATGCAGTGAGGCACCAAGGTGC